CACTTCCGATCCAGCTCTCTGCTATGGCCTGGGAAAGCAGTGGAAGATGGCCCAACTCCTTGGGCCCCTGCACCCACATGGGAGACCCAGAAGAAGCTCCTGGCTCCTGGCTTTAGATTGACCCAGCTCCAGCCATTGGGGCCATTTGAGGAATGAACCAGTGGATGAAAGACCTCTCTCTCTGTGTGTCTGTAACTCTGCCTCTCAGATAACTGTCTCAAAACAAAAAAAAGAAGCAAAGCTACATTACATGTTTCCTTTGCCCCAGCCACCAGTGGGATAGACACCCTCCCTCCCCAGAGGAATGCAGGATGGGGAACAAGGGGGGATGTCCTCACTCCCCCGAGGCTGACCTAAGACCTCTCCTGCTGCCCTTGAGCTGCGTGGGCTGCCCGTGGGGAAGGCCAGGGCTTGTTCAGTGGGGTCAACAGGAAGGCACTGAGGTAGTGCGGGGGGGGGGGGGGTGCTGGAAGTGCCCACCACAAGGCCCAGCTCATGGGCTCGTGAGGAAGAGATCCTCAAACCTTATCTCAAGTTTTAAAAACGAGGACGAAGGGGGCAGCAATTTCACAGGAAAAAGCACAGGCCCCCCCCCCCCCCCAATGCCCGGGTTCCCCCCCAGTCCCTGCTGATGCACCCGGAAGGCAGCAGGTGACGGCTCAGTGACTCGAGTCCCTGCCACTCACTTGGGAGACCCAGGGGGCGTCCCTGGCTCCTGGCTCCAGTGGGTGTGGGATGGTGGCTCGCTCTCGCTCTCTCACTCTCTCGCTCTCTCCCTCTCCCTCTAACTCTACCTCTCACATAAATAAAATCTTTTAAAAAAAAGAAACCTGATGGAGCCTGTTCAGGTCAATTCAATCAGAAGAGCTGGGATAGAAGCTCAATAGTGGTATGAATTTTTTTAATGACAACAAATCGCAGGCTCCAAAATGCAGCCCACATGTGCAGGCCGCCTTACCGAGGGAGAAACCTCTCTAACCAGGGCCCGGTTCCCGGATTGCCCGCACCGGCACAACACGGACAGCCCACAGTTTGCAGGACGTACTGTCACCTGCATCTGCGCGACTCTGTCCCCACCTACGCTGCAGGGCTACAGAGGGGGCACCTCCCATGGTGCATACACCCTGCAGTGGCTGGCGGGGGGGGGGGGGGTTGCGGGGGGCTTCACTTCCTGTCTGGGACTTCCTGGAGGAGGCGGGGTCCAGGCAGGTTGGGCTGACAGCACCCCTGGGGCTGCCTCATAGCCTCACGTCTAAGGAGAGAGCTCCCCTCTCCAGAGCCGAGGGGTGACTCATGTCTGGTTTCGTCTCTCCGGTGATGTCAGACGCCTGCTTTCTCTTGGCTGGTGCTCAGAGCACCTGACGACAGCCGTCTTGTTCAGACCCAGAGAAGGAGCCACTCTGGGTGTCCTTCCCCCTAGGGTGGGGGTGGGGGGTTGCTGGTGTCCGCAGCTCCCTCACATTCGCACCTGGGGGCATGGACATGGGAGGAGAGGCGTGAGGTCCGCGGGACTCACTCACCCTCTCCCTGGCCGGGATCTGTGGCCACCCTGTCCACCCCAACCTGGCTGGGCCCCACCGTGCTCCCTTGTGCTACCAAGGTGAGATGATCCCCATTGCCTGATCCACAGGGCATGGCCCCCAGCCTCCCACTGCCCTGTTCAGGAGCCGAGGTGCGGCCCTTTGGACCCAAGGCAGCCCCTGAGCAGTCCCTGTATGCAGCAGGTGCGTGGTCCGATGTGTTTTCCACTGACTGCGCCTCTGCAGGCTCCCGATGCCCCTCCTGGGGCCCGTCTCACTAAGCAGGGACAAGCAAACACACAGCTTGCACTCCCCAAGGGGGTGGGTTGGCTGCAGGCAGGTCTAGACCCAGGGGAGTGAGAGAGGAAGGAGAAAGCTGTGTTCAGGGCAGCCACACCGAGGTCCTGGGACGTTAGGGGCAAAGGAGAGATCCTGGCCACAGGTGAGCCAAAAGCCCTGTCTCCCCATCCCCCATCCCCCATCCCGCTCTCCTCCTGGGAAGCACCAGCCTGCTGGGCTCAGGCCTTCACCCTCTCCCCTCTGAGGGTCCTGTGCTCTGAAGTCAGAGGACCCCCAGGCTCCTAGCTCTGCACCCTGCACGGCACCCCTCTGGCTGCAGGAACACCCCAATGTCTGGGCCTCGTGCTTGGGGCCCCCCGCTGCAGTAGCAGCTCCTGCACCCCCAAGCAGGCTTCTCACCTCCTCCTGCAGTCCCCACCTGTGTCCTCTCTCTCTTTTTTTATGATTTATTTACTTGAAAGTCAGAGTTACACAAGAGAGAAGGAGAGGCAGAGAGAGAGAGAGAGAGGTCTTTCATCCGCTGGTTCACTCCCCAATTGGCCGCAATGGCTGGAGCTGCGCCAATCAAAAGCCAGGAGCCAGGAGCCAGGAGCTTCTTCCAGGTCTCCCACGTGGGTGCAGGGGCCCAAGAACTTGGGCCATCTTCCACCGCTTTCCCAGGCCATAGAAGAGAGCTGGATCAGAAGTGGAGCAGCCAGGACTCGAACTGGCTCCCATATGAGATGATGGCACAGCAGGCGGAGGTTTACCCGCTACACCACAGCACCAGTTCCCTGTGTCCTATCTTGATCCACAGCTCCTCTCAGTTGGCTGGCCAGGACGTCACCATCTACTCTCTCTCCATCCTCCAGGGCCCCCAGCACACCTGCAGGTCCCTGGGGCTTTGAATCAGGCTCAGCATGGGGGCGGGGATATCGTCCTGGTGAGTGAGGTCCAACACATCACCTGCCAGGCCTGGAAACTTCCCTTGATAACCCTCTGGCTCATGCCATGAGCTGGGACACCAGGCTGGGGCCTCAAGTCTGGGGCTTGTATGCCACTTGCCTCCGGGTCCCCAGCCAGGGCGGGTGGTCCTTCTTCCCAGCAGACACACACGGCAGGTGCAAGGGTCCCCAGCTGGGCTGTGGTGCACACACCAGCCAGCCCACCCAGTGCCACGTGTGGCTGCCAAAGTCCAAACCAGAGGCCTCCCGGGCCAAATTTCCCCAACTTGAGCGGCACAATGAGGCTTTATTCAGGATCCGGGGCAGCTGCCAGGCCTGCAACAGGGGCCAAGGGGTGCAGTGACAGCGCCCTCTGGTGTGACAGGGCAGAAACAACATCTCGTTGCTGTCACCCCGGCAGGTTCTGTGCATTGATTTCTATACATTTCCCCTGGACGGTAGAGAAGCCGTCTGTCTTGTATCTGACCGCTGACACCGCGTGTGTGCGCGGGGCTCAGCTCGGGAGCTTCCCGCATCTGCGTCGTGACGCACGCGCCACGCGCGGCTCAGCGGCTTAGCGGCTTCTAGTCCGTCCCCAGACAGGTGCGACCTGTACACAGTGAATTCTAGAGCTCTTTTGTCTCCCGCAGAAAAACCCCAGACCCCTTAGCTGTCACTCCCCCGTGCTGCCCCCAGCCCCTGGAAGCCACTCATCTGCTCTCTGTCTCTCGAATTTGTCTCCTTTGTCGTGGTTCATAGAAATGGAACGTGGCGGAGTTTGCTGGACTCAGCCATGTGGTACCCTGGGTCTGTGCTCTGTTCCCTGCTATGGTGGAATCCTAGTCCAGTGTAGGAACTCACGACATTTAATTCACCCTTTCTTCTTTTTTTAAGATTTATTTATTCATTTAAAAGGTAGAGTCCCAGAGACAGACAGACGGACACACACACAGAGACAAAGAGATTTCCTATTCACTGATTCCCTTCCCAAATGATGCAACAGCCAGTGCTGGACCAGGCTGAAGCCAGGAGGCAGGAGCTCCATCTGGATCTCCCACGTGGCTGGCAGGGGCCCAAGCACTCAAGTCATCATCTGCTGCCTTCCCAGGCGCATTAGCTGGGTTGGAATGGGAGCAGCAGACGTCGGTCATGGGGATGGGCACTGGGCAGGCGGCTGCGTCCCCGCAACCGTCCTTTGCCCTGGAGGTCTAGGCAGGGCCGGGCAGCCTGCAGTCCAGAGTCCCCACCGCCCAAGTGAGGAACAGGCTGTTTTGTTGTTGTGTGCCACTGAGGGAGGGTCACAGGGAGACACATTGCCCCCACCCTGGCCTGGGGGGTGCACATTTCACGGTGGCCAAAGGGCCAGTGCAACAACTTGGGGCCTGGTGGAGCGTAACCGAGTGAGGCGAGGTTAACAGAGGCCCCGGGCCCAGGCTGGAGCTGGCAGGACGCTGGGCAATGAGTTACCCGAGGGTGCCCCAGCCCTACCCCCAGCGGGCTGTCTACCTGTGGCAGTTGAGCCATCGGAGGACTTCCGGGCACTGTGCAAATGCCGCACTGCACCTGTTACCATCATGGAGGCTTGTCCTGCGGGGAGGCTGCGGGCTGGGAGGTAGGAGCTCCAGGGGGTGTCGGACCCACCAGGCCTCCCCACTCCTTCCACACCCTGCCCCCAGAAGGAGGTGCAAATGCCCAAGGGCCAGGCTCCGCTGAGCTTGTGAGTGACAGGCGGCCTGGCCGCCAGCCAGCCTGGCCAGGTGGGGTGGAGGGGGCATGGAGCCATGGTGACAGGTGACCGGAAGCAGGACGCACCAGAGGTGGTCGGTGGTTGTCGGGCCTGCCTGTCCTTGGGGGACACTACAGACAGGGCAGAGAGAAGAGGCTGATGGGACACTGTGGCAGGGTGACTATTCACCACGCGGGGGTTCCCCGGAGATGCTGACGGTGGGCAGTAGGAGGGATTGAAGACTCTTCCCAGGGATCCTAGCTCCTGTCCACAGCCCCAGGCCCCACCTGTCCTGACATTTGGTGCCCCGGGAGCAGCTTCTCCCAGGGCAGGGCTCTGGATGGAACCCAGGCTCTGCACTCTTGCGGAAGCTGGGCTGCCACACCCTGCCCCTCCAGGAAAGTGGCCAGTCACCAGCCAGCCTCAGGCGGGTGACTCCTGGGGTCTGGGGGGAGGAAGGCACCCTCCACAGGCCACAGGGCCGCCCCTCCTCCACCCTCTACTCATTAACCAGGCCATGAGTGCCCGGGTTGACCAGGCCTCTGTCAGCTGGCTGCACAGAGCTGGCAGGAGAGCGCCAGGGTGCACAGGGCGGCCGGCGTTCGGGCTGGGAATGGACAGCCAGCAGGATGTGGTGAACCTGGACCAGGGCGGCTGCTGCCCTGCCCTGCGCAAGCTGCTCCCCAGGGGCTTCTGGGATGAGGCACGGGCGCTGTTTGTCCTCTCTGGACCCCTGGTAAGGAGGTGGGGTAGGGGGCCAGGCAGGATGGGGGTAGAGGGGGAGGCTGGGGGCAGCCGCTGGCCAGCACTGCATGGGGAAGCACCCAGAGCCTCCCTGGAAAGCATGTGTGATGCTCCCAGCGCTGCCAGGACAGTTCCCAGGGCGGCAGTGGGGCCTGATCGTGCATGGCCACGGGCAGCCCCAGCCCAAAGGGGCAGGTGCGTCCTCATTGGCACCCACAGCCAGGGCCCGGCTGAGGGACTGCACCATGGCCAAGTCGCCTGGCTGCTGCCCATGCCTCTGGGTGTCCCCACGGGACCTTGGCAGAGGGAAGAATTCCACTGCCCATTTTCCTGCCAAAGGGAAAGTAGTTTTCATAGTTTTCCCCTCTGGCCATACAGAAGAAGTACTGTCCCCCCTGTAAAATTTCAGACAAAATGAAAAGTTATTTAAAAAATGGAGAAGGCATCATCTCAGCCCTGGGGATGGTTGGTACTGAGACTTTGTTTGTTCCTCTCCGGGGTGTGCGTGTGTGTGTGTCCTGACATGCACACATTACAATATAGAACACAATGATAGTAATTATAACAATAACAGCTGTATCGAATACTTGGGCTGAGCTCCCCGGTGCTGGGCACCTGTCTTGTGTTCTGGCACATTCCAGGCAGGAGCCATGGCTGCAGACAGCAGAGTAACAGCGAGAAGACTTGGGCTTCTGGCTCTCGGCCCTGGCTTCCCTCGGGGTGGGTGATCTGCCCGGCTGGCTGGCAGTGAGCCAGTGAGGCCGGTGGGTGCTGGGTTCAAGGTCTGGAAGGCTGAGCAGCTAGGATGACAAGGTGGCGGCAGGGTCACCCAAAGGCTTAGTGTGACCCTGCCTCTGTCTTCAAGTTCCTGTTCCAGGTGTTGAACTTCCTGACCTACGTCGTGGGTACTGTGTTCTGCGGGCACCTGGGCAAGGTGGAGCTGGCATCTGTGACCCTAGGGGTGGCGGTGAGTGACACTCCACCAGGCTCCCAGGCTGCTGGGTGGCCAGTCTGGCCCTCAAGGACCCAGATCATGTGGCCAGATGGCTGGCACCCAACGCCAGAACTGGGGTGGCCGGGCCCACGGCTTATAGCCATGGGGGCAGAGCCAGGCAGAGGGAGGGGTTCAGCAGAGCTGTCTCCACCACAGCCTCCCTGCGGGGTGGTCTCCCTCCAAGACCCGACCCTCCTGGCAGAGCCCGCCTCAGACACCCACCCCCCGACAAGCCTCGGTATTTTCTCCCGTGTGCCACCCCAGTTCGTCAACGTCTGTGGAGTGTCTGTTGGAGCTGGTTTGTCCTCGGCATGTGACACCCTGATGTCCCAGGTAGGTGGGTCCCCTGGAGCCAAGGGGAGGCGGGACAAGGAGCAGGTGCTGTCAGGAAAATGAGTTTTGACGGAGTGTGGGTCATGGAGGAGAGAAGGATGGGGACGGTTCCCGACTTCTGCCTTGCAGAATAGAGCGGAGCATCCGGCAGCCTGCCGTTGGGTCACCTCGCTTCTCACTCCCGCATTTGGCTGCCGACCTGCCGTGCAGGCTTGTGTCAGGGGCCGGAGGGTAGGGATAGGATGTCCTTGTCTGCAGGGGCCCACAGTCACGGGGTGCTGGCCTGGCGGCTGTGAGGGTTATGGCTTCGCAGTGGCTCCGGGGACCTGGGCTTGCGGGCGGAGTGACATGGCGGGAGCACCATGGACACTCCCGGAGCAGACTGGGGGTGACAGTGGAGAAGAGGCCGGCTCAGGAAATGGGGGGTGCCAGGCGCAGAGCGGGGCTGACCTGGTGCGGGGCCACTGAGCACAGGGGCGGTGTTTCGGCAGAGCTTCGGCAGCCCCAACAAGAAGCACGTGGGCGTCATCCTGCAGCGCGGCTCGCTCATCCTGCTGCTCTGCTGCCTGCCCTGCTGGGCGCTCTTCCTCAACACCCAGCACATCCTGCTGCTCTTCAGACAGGACCCGGCCGTGTCCAGGTAGCACGTGGCTCCTGCTGGGCACCCAGACTGGGGAGGTTCTGCCGGGGCGGGAGACCCTAAAGAAGCCCACCTCCAACCCCTGCATCTCTCTTGGAGAGTCTCCCACATAAGCCTGCAATACCAGTTCTGACCAGCAGGGGTCACACGCACACATCACTTTTTTATTATTAAGGCATAAAAAATATTTTTTATTATTTGTTAGAGGGAGATACAAACAGATAGACAAAATCTGCAATATCTGATTCACTTCCCAAATACCTGCAATGCGCAGGACTGGAGTCGGGAGCCAGGATCTCAGTCCAGGTCCCCCATGTGGGTGGCAGGAACCAAATTACTTGAGCCATTGCTGCTGCCTCCCAGGCTCTGTGTTGCCAGGAAGCTGGAGTCAGGAGCCAGAGCTGGGAACTGAACCCAGGCATTCTGCTGTGGGGTGCGGGGATCTGAACTTCTAGGCCAAACGCTCCTCCACCAATTGCAATTTAGGAAGAAAGACGAGAAAGGACTTTGGGTTGCCATTTTATTTGTATTTGTGTCCTGGCAGCACAGAGTCTGAGCCTAAAGTAAGCTTTTGAAGAAATGAGGTGTGTGGATTGCTCCATGTTCCAAAAAAAAAGGAGGGAGGAAGATTGACGGATGATGAATGAATTACAATTTAGTCTTAAATTTGGGGATGGCTCTCTCAGGGCTCTCTTGCTCATTTTACATTATGTGCGTTTCCTATGGCTATTTCTTGGTCATCAGTGATGTTTGGGGTTTCTCTCTGCTGGGAACTTCAGCTCCTTAGTCAGGGGGCGCCCGGGGGTGCCGGGTCCTCGGTTGCCATCTGCTGGCACCCACACCTGGCGGCAGCCACCGCCAGAGGCCGCTAGTGGTCCCCAACTGCCACCTGAGGGACCCGGGGATAGCCTCTCCTGGAACCTGAGTGCCCAGGGAGTCCTGGCAGGAGGCCAGCTCCAGCCCCAAGGCCCAGCCTCCCCCGGGCCACAGCGTCTCCTCCTTCTCCGCAGGTTAACCCAGGACTACGCGATGATTTTCATCCCAGGACTCCCGGTAGGTGCTGAGCACGGGGGAGCCGTGCAAGGACACGGGCCCCCACCCGACCCCAGTTCTGGCTTTTTGCTGTCCCACCGGTCTGCTGCCGCGGGGGGGGGGGGGACACTAGCCCGAGGGGGGCAGAAGGGAAGGTGTGTCTCAGGCGGTGCGAGCTGCATCTTTCTGATGTGACAGATGCCTACCGGAGAACATTTGGAAAGCACAGGGCAGAACATTTTCAAAATCTCCTTAACCCCACCGCCTCTGGAGAGACGAGACTGCTTCTTCCAGGATTATTTCTACTCACGGGCGTGTATGTGTTCAAGTGCATATGAGGGCACTTCAAAATTTTGTGAGAAAAAAAATGAAATTTATTTGCAGGCAAAAATAATGGAAATTTATGCACTTTTTTTTCTTAAGGGGCCTTTCTCCATGAACTTTTTTATTTAAGATTTGTTTATTTATTCAAAGGCAGAGTTACAGAGAGAGAGAGGGAAAGAGAGAGATTTTTCATTCACTGGTTCACTCCCCAAAATGGCCACAGCAGCCAGAGCCGGGCTGGGCCGAATTCAGGAGCCGGGAGCTTCTTCCTGGGTCTCCCATGCAGGTGCAGGGGCCCAGGCACCTGGGCCATCTGCTACTGCTTTCCCAGGTGCATTAGCAGGGAGCTGGATTGGAAGTGGAGCAGCCGGGACTCGAACCGGCACCCGTATGGGGCAGCTTAATCTGCTGGGCCACAGCACTGGTCCCTTCTACTCCCTTCTGAAGCACCTGCACTTGTATCATCTGCTTTTTCACTGGACTAACTTGTGTGTGAGGAGGTTCGCTGTGAAGAGACTTGAACAGCCAGGTTTGGTGTCAAGGAAAGTCCTAGAAGCAATCCTCCATGGATCCCAGGAGGACGCACAGTGACCACGGCCGTCACGGACTGGGCGCCTGGGGCTGGGAGCCGTGATTCGCTCAGTTCACACAGCTCATGAGAGGCAGAGCAGGGATTGGAACCCAGGCAGTCAGGGGCCAGCTCCGCACTCCGTATCCCCTTCCTCTCCTGAAAAGAAGTAGAGTCATGAGGGACAGGACAGGGTAGGATGCCCTTGACACATGCTTCCCCTCTGTCCTGCCCACATGGGCCTGCCACCCTCATGGGGTCCTGAACCCGCCCAGCAGAGACTGCCCCGGGCCAGCACTGCTCAGCCCCGCCCTCACTCCCACACTCCCTTGGTTCAAGGCCATCCCCTGCAAATCCTGGACTCTGGAAGCCAGAGCCAAGTCCTGGATGACCATGGCCTGTGGCCCGTGGCCCGTGGCCCGCGGCACGGTGTGAATAGGCCCCGAGTCACTCTCCTGCTGACAAGGCCCAGGAGGGCAGCCCGGGGGGCTCCGCCCCGTGTACAGCCAGGCTGAAGCCCCTCCCAGAGTCCACGCACCTGCTCAGCTTCCCCTGTGGCTGGGCAGGCGCCCCGACGGACCCCCAACACAGGCAGAGCCAGCATGACCCAGGTGGCTGCCTCGGCTCCCCCTCCCCCAAACTCAGGTACCTACATCCTGGGAGGGAATATCAGGTAATGGCTGGCAGATATTTTGGAGAGTGGTGGCCCTTGCTGTTGATTTGTTTTGTTTTGCTTTGTTTTTTTATGCAGGCAATTTTTCTTTACAGTCTGCTGGCAAAGTATTTGCAAAATCAGGTACAGGCTTCTGGCTCCAGGGGGGCAGTGAGGGGGGTGCCAGGGTCTGTGCCCCACCCTCCTGTCTGTGACCCAGCCTCCAAAGGGGTCACCTCCCACCCGCCCCACTGCATCCCGACCTCCGGCATAGGGCCGAGGACAAGCTCCTCCCACTCCCGGGGGGCCACACCCCCTGGGCCCCGCCCCGCCTGCGGAGCGCGGCCAGTCTCTGTTGATTTCAGGGAATCGTCTGGCCACAAGTCCTTAGCGGCGTAGTGGGCAACTGTGTCAACGGCGTCGCCAACTACGCTCTGGTGTCCGTGCTGAATCTGGGGGTCAGGTGAGCCCCGGGGAGGGCTGCTGGGCCCTGGTGGGGAAGGGGGCACCTCCCACTGAGTTCCGCCCCACCCCAGCCCTCCGCGAGCGGCCGAGAAGTGGGGGGGGGGGCTGGCAGGGTGCCCCCAGAACACCGGAGTAATGGCTGCCCGGCCAGAGTGGGGTGCAGAGTCCAGGATGCGCGAGCTGGCAGAGCCGTGGCTGCACCCGCCTCCTCCAGCTCCCTGCTGGCTCAGCGCCCAGGGCCAGCGTGGTGGGCGTGAGCCCAGCCCTGCCGCCCTCTCTCCCCAGGGGCTCTGCCTACGCCAACACCATCTCCCAGTTTGTGCAAGCCGCCTTCCTCTTTCTCCACATCGTGCTGAAGAAGCTGCACCTGGAGACGTGGGAAGGTGCGCACGCAGCCCCGCCCCGCGCACGCAGCCCCGCCCCGCGCACGCTGAGCTGCTCTTGCTTATCCATCCCCCCAAAAGACCAAGGGTCCCTGGTGCTGGCTGGGTCTCTCCCAGGACCCTGGCCTCTCAGGATGGGGCCAGCCCTGTGTGCTGGCAGGGGCACCCAGCACCCTGATCCTGCTTCCTCCCCGACCTGCCCCAGCGCCTGCTCTAGCCGGCCTCTCTATTCTAGGTTGGTCCAGCCAGTGCCTCCGGGACTGGGGCCCCTTCCTCTCGCTGGCCATCCCAAGCATGCTCATGATGTGTGTGGAGTGGTGGGCTTACGAGATTGGCAGCTTCCTCATGGGTGCGTGCAGAGCGCGGGTGGGAGCCATGTGTGGGCAGCACGGCTGGCTAGAGGCCACCCTCCTCCCCTGCTCCAGGGTGAGTGGTTCACTGCCCACTCCTGGTTGCACCTGCCAGCCTCCCCCCCACCCCAGGGCGCCCCAGGGCTGAGGCCCGGCCTGGGGCACCACCCAGGTATCTGTGCCACTGGTGAGCCCTGATTCATGCTGCCTCTCCCCCAGGCCTGCTGGGCGTAGTGGACCTCTCTGGCCAGGCCATCATCTATGAAGTAGCCACAGTGGTCTACATGGTGAGTCTCCTCCCGGGATGCTTCCCCATGGCAACTGAGGTGTCAGGGAGGGGGCAGGCTGTCTCTGTCCCCCAAGGCATTGCTCTCCACCCTCCTGGTCCCTCAGGTGCCAGGCCCTGCTCCCTGCACACACGGGGGCCCTCAGTCTGTCTCCTGGGGTGCTAGAATTGTTTTTGTTTTTGTTTTTAATTTTTAAAACATCTATTTGAAAGTCGGAATTACGGGTTTGGGGGGGAGGCAGAGGGAGGCGAGACAGAGACATCTTCCATCCGTTGGCTCACCCTCCAAATGGCTGGAATGGCCAGGGCTGGGCTGATCGAAAGCCAGGAGCCAGGAGCTTCTTCCAGGTCTCCCACATAGGTGCAGGGGTCCAAGCACTTGGGCCATCTTCTACTGCTTTCCCAGGCACATTAGCTGGGAGCTGGATTGGAAGTGGAGCAGCTGGGACTAGAACCGGCACCCACATGAGATGCAGGCATGGCAGTAGCTTTACCCACTGCATCACAGTGATGGCCCCAGGTGCTAGAATTTTAAAAATTGATTTGCATATTTTAAAAGTGAGCGATTTCACAGTACAATCTGAATTTTGGGGTTGTCATAAAAAAATCCTTGTCACTTGAGGACAAATCTGCCAGCTGCCTGAGACTCCAGCAAAGGGGTCACAGGAATCCATATTTGCAAACCGAATTTATAAGGTGAGTCTTATTTCTACAGATGGTTTCCACTGGGGAGAAAAATTGTTTTGTTGTTGTTGTTTCCTCAGGGAGCTTTTCTGGTATACATCACATTCACCTCTTTCACACCTTGTTCTCTGGATTTTAGCAACACACCCATCTCAGTTGCCTGTGTCATTTTTAATGATCAGGATGTGGTTGGACCCATTAGCCACCTTGGGACAGCCCCAGGCACTCTCCCAGACCCAGACACTACTGCCTTCAGCCACCAGGGGGCCCCGTCCTCACACCGTCCCCTGCGATGCACCGGTCTTCAGGCTCTCCCTCCTGGCCCAGCCTGGGGAGCGACTGCCTGCACCCTCGCAGCCCTAGCCCCACCCTGGCTTGGGATCCCAAGCCCCTCCTGCGATCTGACAGCACTTTTTCGCCTGGAATCCCAGATTCCCATGGGGCTCGGCATGGCCGTGTGCGTCCGAGTGGGGACAGCACTGGGAGCCGCAGACACTCTGCAAGCAAAGCGATCGGCCGTCTCAGGCCTTCTCTGCACAGGTCAGGGGTGTGGGAGCCCTCCCCCGCTGTCATGGGTGGGTCGAGGGCCTGGGCCAGCGGAGGTTCCTGTACGTGGGAGGCAGGGCTGGCCTGGGAGCAGGCAGAGCTGCCTTCCAAACCTGCTGGACCTGCCCTGAGGCCGGGCAACCTCTCCCTGAAGAGCAAACATCTTTCTCACTCGCCCAGCGCCTTTCCCTGCTCACTCCTCCCCTGCAGCCAGGATTCCGGGGATGCTCCGGGAGACCAGACGGCTGCTGCAGCTGGGCTTAGATAAAAGTGGGATGCCAGGGGGCCCCACCTTCCCCAGGAGTCTCTCCCTGGTCTCCATACATGCATTGTGCTGTAAAGGAACCACTCTGCGTCCTCCCACGTCGCGGCCCTGCCTCCCTGGGACCAGCAGGTGCCACGAGTGGTGGTTCTCATCCCGGCCTTAGCCCTCCTTCCCTGGAACTCCAGGAAGGGCTGGACGAGAGTGCTGGGCGTCAGGCAGCAGTTGGATTGGCAGCAGGCAGGAGACAGGGGTCTGGGAAAGTGCATTCTTAACAAGTCACAGGTGCCGCTGACGCCACCGCCGTGGGCCCAGGACGCCCACTCGGAGAGCCACAGAGTAAAAGCCTTTCACGTGGTGCCCCTCCTGCGGGATGGCACGCAAGCACCCAACCCAGGGGGAGGACTTGAAGGCGGGGGGCTCCGGGGTGCCATGCACGGCTCGGGGGGCCATTCCTTTTCTCACCCAAGCCGGGGTCCCCCGCGGGTTGGGGTCCGTCACTTCTGTTCCCTTTGCCTTTTCCAGCGGGCACTTCCCTGGTGGTGGGCACCCTGCTGGGGCTCCTGAACAGCCAGCTGGGGTACATTTTCACCAGTGATGAGTAGGTAATCCGTTTTCTTCACTGCCTTCTGGGAAATGTCAGGGTGGCGGTCCCCAGGGGGCCCTCAGGGACTCTCCCACCTGCCTGGCTCCAGGCACAGCCCAGACTTTGGCCTCTCTGAGAGGAGCCCAGCTCTCTCGGCTTGTCCATTCGGGCCGTGGCGTTCACCCCAGTTGGCTCACGGACAAGATGCTAGCTGCAGTTCGCCAGTCCAAACCGGTGGGGACTCTCCCAGAGGTTAAGGTGTGGCCCGTGCACACGTGGCTAGGAGTGGTTGTCCCATGTGTGCGGGTACTGCTCCTCCCTCAAAGACTCGGGGGGAGGGGGGCGGTGTGGCGGGAGGAGCGGGGCTGGGGCTGTCTTAGTGCACGAGTGAGGGTCTCTTCCCGTTCCCCCTGCAGAGAGGTCATTGCCCTGGTGAACCAGGTCTTGCCGATTTACATCGTCTTTCAGCTTGTGGAGGCCGTCTGTGTGAGTACCCCCTGATGTGCAGCCTGTCTCCCCAGCCCCTGCTCCTGGCTCCCCGGCCTCCCTGACAGACACCCCGTGGGGGACAGGCACTTGGAGTAACTTGTGGAAGCGCAGACGGAAGAGCCCCGAGCACCAGCTGGGATTCGATCTGCTGTCCCTCGAGGCAGCCAATGCGGAAATGCCCAGCCCACGCCCGGGTGTCTCTTCCTTCCCAGTTCCTCGTGAGCAGGGGTCCTGGGCACAGAGCCTGCTGCAGACTGGCCAGGAGCTCTGCCGCGGGCACACCCTGTCACCCGGGCGGAGGGAAATGAGTCAGCCCAGGGGTCAGAGGAGCGCCTTGTTCTGCCCCTTTGCTCACAAGCAGATAGGTTCCCCTTGGTGCAGATTTGAAATTGGAGAGAGAGAGAGAGAGAGAGAGAGAGAGTCATCTTCCATCTTCTGGTTCACTCCCCAAATAGCTGCAATGGCCAGGGGTGGGCTGGGCTGAAGCCAGGAGCCAGGAGCTCCTTCTGGGTTTCCTACGTGGGTGCAGGGGCTCAAGCACTTGGGCCATCTTCTACTGCTTTCCTAGGCACATTAGCAGGGAGCTGGATCAGAAGTGGGGCAGCTGGGACTCAAACCAGTGTCCATATGAGATGCCGGCACTGTAGGTGGTGGCTTTACCCGCTATGCCACAGTGCCGGCCCCTGGTCTTACTTTTGTAAAAGATTTGAGATCTATGTCTCGATTCCTTTTTTTTTTTTTCATGGGGATGCACAGTTCTTCCAGAGGGCTCTCCGCTGTATTGCCTCTGCTCCTTTGTCAGAGATCAACTAACTGGGTTTGCATGGATCTGTTTCTTGGCTATCAGTTCTGTGCAAAGGATCTATTTGTGAATTCTTGTTTTATAACACACTGTCTTGATTCCTTAGCCTTATGGTGAGTCTTAGGGCTGGGTCGTGTCATTCCCCTGACACTGTGTTAATACTGTGTGGGTTATATGGGGCCTTTGGCCTTTCCACAGAAGTGTTGGGGTCAGTTTGCCAGTATCCACACACCAACTTGCTGAGATCACCTCTCCTTTCCATGGGGACCATCCTGGAGGGGACGTACTGGCATGTCAGTATGGTTTCAATGACAAACCTTGAGCCCCCTTTTGTGTGTCTTCTTCAGTGAAATGCCTATTCAAGCCTTTTGTCCAAGAAAATGAATCTTTTTTTTAAAATCAGATTGCTAGGGCTACAGTGACAAAGTACCAAAACCTGGGTGGTTTAAATCACAGACATGTGCTGTTTACAGTTCTGGAACTCAGACAACCTACACCAAGGCTCAGCAGGCCTTCATTGCCACTGAAGTCATCAAGGAAGCTCTGTCCTGGGCCCATCCCTTACCTTCTGGAGCCACAGTGTCCTTGGCTTAGAAATGGCCATCCTACCTCTTCACCTCACCTGGTTTCTGTGTCTGTCTCTGTGTCCAAGGTTCCCTTCCTTTTAAAAAAAAAAAAAGAGATTTATTCATTTACTTGAAAGGCAGAGTTACAGAGAGAGAGAGAGAGAGAGAGAGAGATGAAAGAGAGAGATCTTCCATCTGCTGGTTCACTCCCTAGATGGCCACAATGGCTGGAGCTGCACCGATCTGAAGCCAGGAGCCAGGAGCTTCCCAGTTCTCCCATGCAGGTGCAGGGGCTCAAGCAAGTGGGCCATCCTCCACTGCTTTCCCAGGCCATAGCAGAGAGCTGGATCGGAAGTGGAGCAGCTGGGACTTGAACTGGCACCCATATGGGATGCCAGCACTGTAGGCAGTGCCTTACCTGCAATGCCACAGTGCCAGCTCCATCAATCTTGCCCTTCTGTGTAATTTATTCCTAAGTTTTTGTTGTTCTTCTTTGATGCTATTGTGATTTTTTTTTAATTTATTTTACAGATAGAGTTAGACAGTGAGAAAGAGACAGAGAGAAAGGTCTTCCTGCCATTGGTTCACCCCTCAAATGGTCACTACGGCCAGAGCTATGCTGATCCAAAGCTAGGAGCCAGGTGCTTCCTCCTGGTCTCCCATGCGGGTGCAGGGCCCAAGCACTTGGGCCATCCTCCACTGCCCTCCCAGGCCACAGCAGAGAGCTGGACTGGAAGAGGAGCTACCTGGACTAGAACCCGGCACCCATATGGGATGCCAGCGCCTCTGGTGGAGGATTAACCAAGTGAGCCACGGCGCCGGCCCCAATGGTTTTAATTAACTTCTGGATTGCTCATAACTAGTTTATAGAAAAACTGTTTTATTATGACCTTTTACCCTGTGACCTTGTTAAACTTGACCTAGTAATTGTGTGTGCAAGGGTAGATGGCTGGATATGTCTCTGAAGGCTTTCTACATATAGGATCATGGCATCTGTGAATAAAAACAGTTTTAGTTCTGTCTTTCGACACAGACTTGATTCCTCAGTGCTATGTTGGATAGAAGTGGCAAGTGCCTACATCTGTGCCTTGGTCCTCATGTTAGCGGTAAAATATTCAAAGTGTCCAGTCTTTCGGTATCAAGTTTGTTACTAGTGGGATGCTCATAAATTCCCTGTATCAGGCTAAAGCCCGGTCCCTAGGTAGCTGAGACATTTCCTCATGAGTGAGTATTGGATTTTACAGAATCCTTTATCTCATGAGTATTAAGATAACGATATGTTTTATCCCTTATTCCATTAGCATGGTATGTTACATTAACTTTCCAGATACTATCCTCTGCATTCCTGGCACAAACCCCTACTGGCCGTGTGTGTATCTTTCCTCTGTATCACTCCTTTGGGTCACTAATGTTCTGTTGAAGAGTCACAGTGTGTGTTCACGAGTTGTCGGCTGTCACTGTGTTTTACCTTGTGTTATCTTGATCCGGTTTTGCTGTAAGGCTAACACTGGCTTCATAAAACGAATTTGGAAGTATCCTTTTCCTCTCGTGATGTCTGGCGTTTATTTTTCTTTTTCAGACATTCATTTATTTATTTGAATGGGTTCACTCCCCAAATGCCTGGAGGGGCCAAGGCTGGGCCATGGGAGAAGCTGGGAGCCAGGAAGGGCCTGGATTCTGTCCTACGTGGGTGGCAGGGACCCAGTGACTCCAGTCATCACTGCAGCCTCCCAGGGTCTCCAGGGTCCCAGGAAGGTGGAGTCGGGTGCCAGGGCTAGGAATTGAACCCAGATGCTCTGATGTGGGCTGCAGGCAGTGTAACCACTGGGCTACATGCCTGTTCCTGTTCTCTTCTGCAAGTGTTTAATAAAATCCACCAGTGCAGCCATCTGGGCTCGGTTTTTTCTTTGTCCAAAGATTTTAAATCATTAATTCAGTCTGTTCACTTGTTTTAGGTCTATTCAGACTTTGTTGCTTGTTGGCTTCATTTTAGTAATTTGTGTCTTTCTACGAATTTATTCACCCCAACTGGATTGTCTATTCTTTCCCATGAAGTCATTGATAATACGCTCTTCTCATCTTTATATTGAGGGATAATGTTCTCTCATTCATTTGGGTAATGTGTGTCTTGCTTTCATGTTTTCTTGGTCTTACTTTCCTGAGGTCAATTCATTGGTGTTTGTCAATCTTATAGATCTTATCAAAAACACTCTATTTTGATTCAATATTCCCTACTGTTTATTTCAATGATATTCATGTGAATCCTCCCCCCCTTTTTTTACAGGCAGAGTGGACAGTGAGAGAGAGTCAGAGACAGAGAGAAAGGTCCTCCTTTTTCCGTTGGTTCACCCCCCATTGGCCGCTGCGGCCGGCGCACACCGCGCTGATCCGAAGCCAGGAGCCAGGTGCTTCTCCTGGTCTCCCATGCGGGTGCAGGGCCCAAGCACTTGGGCCATCCTCCACTGCCTTCCCGGGTCACAGCAGAGAGCAGGCCTGGAAGAGGGGCAACCGGGACAGAATCTGGCACCCCGACCGGGACTAGAACCCGGTGTGCCGGCATCGCAGGTGGAGGATTAGCCTAGTGAGCCGCAGCGCCGGCCTATCCTCCCTCTCCTTCTGTCTTATTTAGGCACAGTCTGCTTTTCTTTCCTAGTTTCTTAGGGTGGAGCATCAGGCTGTCGATGTGAGATCCTTCTTTCCTGACCGAATCGTTTTAAAGTTACATATCCCCCACCCCCACCCCCAGGCACTGCTTTGGCTGCGTCTGATTCTTTGCAATATGTCGTCATGAAATTCAGAATATTTAAACATTTCTCCTATGATTTATTCTTTTACCCACAGGTTTAGAAGTGTGCTATTTCATTCCCAAGTATCTAGGGTGTTTCTCTCTGGGAAGCCTGGGGATTCACTTAATCCCGTCTTTGAGGTCTGAGGCCTGGCGCAGGTCTCTGCTGGAGGGTGCTGCGTGTGGCCGTGACCCAGGGACTGTCCCGTCGGCTGCTCAGGAACTTGCCTGGACGGACTGTGTGACTCTCACAGCGTGCTGCTGTCGATCTCTCTGCCCAGCGGTTTTCCTTCTTCCCTTGTTGTTGATCGTGAAGTCTGGCTCCCCAGTCTTAAACCGCCCCCGCCCCCAGCACCTCTGGCAGCTAGCAAGGCTCCTGCTGAGGACGACTGACAGAGCTGCGTGTGGGCGGAGACGCGGAGTGGTGGCTGTGTTCATGCCTGTCCCAGCTTGTACTTTCTCCTTGAATCCTTTTGGCCTCCTCTGCGCGTGGGCAGGGTCTAGTATTGTCCTCTCGTGTGTGTGTGTGTGTGGGTGCTTGGACCTGCTCCCAGATCTGCTACTACCCTGGCCAACCTGGGATATGTGGGCAATTCATCTGCTCCCCGTAACTCTCCTGTGTGACCCCATGTGCCTCCCAGTGAAATCCCTGTCTAGTCCACTGGCCCACGGGGTCCCCCCAAACAGGCCCACAACCCTGGCTTACTGGGGCCACCAGCCCTGTCTGTGTGCCTGCCACTGGAATTGCCATTTTAATTCACAGTGCTCTGAACCAGGGCTTCTCAACCTTAGCACCACCTGCACGGGAAGTCAGACGCATCTGTCACAGCCCCCCACTCCACCCCGCGGTACCACAGGACCGGTAGCTGCATGCCTGGTCTCTGGCCACCAGATGGCAGTAGCACCCCTCGCTGAACAATCCTGTCCAGGGCTGAGTAGTCTGTGCAGCAGTTCAGATACTGCTTGGGACGCCCACTCCATGTCAGAGTGCCCGGGTTCGAGTCCTGGATTTGCTCCTTTGACAGCTTCTAGGAGCCGGAAAGAGCAGAGAGACAGATTGTCTTGTCCCCCAAGGACAGCCAGAAGGAACCAGCTCGCCCCGTCTCCACCACGCCAAGTTAGTCTGGCTTCCCCAGAGCCGCCAGGGACTGACTGGTCGCCAAGGCTGCCTTTACTTTGTTGCCAAGGCAGCGACGGCGTGGAGATGAAGCCCGGGTGGGTGCTCCGAGTGGAGCTCAAATCGCAGGTGCTCTGGTGCAACCCCGGGCAGCAGCGGGAAGACGGGGGACGAGGGCACCTGCGCCGTGCGGGGAGACAGGGGGACGGGGGCACCTGCGCCGTGCGGGGAGACAGGGGGACGGGGGCACCTGTGCCATGCGGGCCGCTCATTTGTGCCTCCCTCCCAGTGTGTGTTTGGTGGAGTCCTGCGGGGCACGGGGAAGCAAGCCTTCGGCGCCATCGTGAACGCCATCATGTACTACATCGTCGGCCTCCCTCTGGGCATCGTGCTGACTTTCGTGGTCGGAATGAGGATCATGGGTACGCGGCACCAAGGAAAGTGGGCGGGCCTAGGCAGTCACCTGCCCCTGCCCCTCCCCGCCCATCATTCTTGTCTCCCACAGGCCTCTGGCTGGGCATGCTGACCTGTATCTTCCTGGCAGCTGTCACCTTTGTTGTCTACGCAGTCCAGCTGGACTGGAAGCTGGCGGCAGAGGAGGTGAGTGGGTCAGCAGCCCCCAGACGGGACAGCCTAGCCAGAAATGCCCAGGACAAGGTCAGGGCTTGGTGGGGGCATGGAGGGGATTGGGAAGTGTGCATGGGAGGGGACCTAGAGGGGCAGCCTGAGCCTCACCAGCCGCTCCTGTCATTGTAACTGGCCAGTTTAGAGCACGCCCTGCAGGTACAAAGAGCAACACAAAACCACACACCTTCCCACCTGCAAAAGCAAAGCGCTCCAGTGGCTGCGCGCAGGTGAGCCCCCCAGGGCGTGCCAACATCACCCCGCCTGCTCGGGCACAGAGTACCCCGCAACAGGGACAGTGGGGCACCATCTGTGCAGTGATGATGTCATCTGGACGTGACTGCAGATTTCAGAGGACAGCAGTCAGGGACCCCCACAAGCACCCACACATGCCGTGTGTTGCCTCAGCTTGCCGGGTTTAAAGGCAAGACATTCGAGGCCGGTGGAGGGTGCAGGCTGGCCCAGGAGCACGGGAGGGTGCAGGCTGGCCTAGGAGAACAGGAGGGTGCAGGCTGGCCCAGGAGCACGGGAGGGTGCAGGCTGGCCCAGGAGAACAGGATGGTGCAGGCTGGCCCAGGAGCGGGGGAGGGTGCAGGCTGGCCCAGGAGCGCGGGAGGGTGCAGGCTGGCCCAGGAGCGCGGGAGGGTGCAGGCTGGCCCAGGAGAGCGGGAGGATGCAGGCTGGCCCAGAACAGGAGGGTGCAGGCTGGCCCAGGAGCGCGGGAGGGTGCAGGCTGGCCCAGGAGCGCGGGAGGGTGCAGGCTGGCCTAGGAGAACAGGAGGGTGCAGGCTGGCCCAGGAGCGCGGGAGGGTGCAGGCTGGCCCAGGAGCGCGGGAGGGTGCAGGCTGGCCCAAGTGCGTGCTCTCTCCTTCAGGCCCAGAAGCATGCGGGGCTACAGCAGCAGCAGCAGCAGCAGCAGCAGCAAGGAGCAGAGTGCACAGCCCCCAGCCCAGGGCCTGACAAGGCCGTTGTGTCTTCAGGTAATGTGGTCCTGGCTGCTTCTGCTTTCACACACACACACACACAGATACGCACAGACACAGACACATGGACACAGACATACACACACACACAGATACACACAGACACACGGGCACAGACACATGAACACAGAAATACACACACACACAGATACACACAGACACACAGGCACAGACACATGAACACAGAAATACACACACACACAGATACACACAGACACACAGGCACAGACACATGAACACAGAAATACACACAGGGATACAGAAACATACACAGAGATACACACACACAGAGACACACACGGATACACACAGACACACAGGCACAGACACATGAACACAGAAATACACACACACACAGATACACACAGACACACAGGCACAGACACATGAACACAGAAATACACACACACACAGATACACACAGACACACAGGCACAGACACATGAACACAGAAATACACACAGGGATACAGAAACATACACAGAGATACACACACACAGAGACACACACGGACACACAGGCACAGACACATGAACACAGAAATACACACACACACAGATACACACAGACACACAGGCACAGACACATGAACACAGAAATACACACACACACAGATACACACAGACACACAGGCACAGACACATGAACACAGAAATACACACACACACAGATACACACAGACACACAGGCACAGACACATGAACACAGAAATACACACACACACAGATACACACAGGGATACAGAAACATACACAGAGATACACACACACAGAGACACACACAGACACACAGGCACAGACACATGAACACAGAAATACACACACACAGATACACACAGGCACAGACACAGAAACATACACAGAGATACACACACACACAGACACACACAGACACACAAACACAGAAATACACACACACACAGATACACACAGGCACAGAAACAGAAACATGGACACAGAAATACACACACACACAGATACACACAGACACACACAGACACACAAACACAGAAATACACACACACAGATACACACAGACACACACAGACACACAAACACAGAAATACACACACACAGATACACACAGACACACACGGACACACAGGCACAGAAACAGACACAAAAATACAGATACACACAGAAACACACAGACACACAGGCACAGAAACAGACACAGAAATACACACACACACAGATACACACAGGGATACAGAAACATACACAGAGATACACAGACCCACAGACACACACAGACACAAACCTGCTCCCGGCCGCCCTCACGCGACTGGGCAGCCCGTGCTGTTCTCCCTGTCACCGGAGAAGAGCATCCCAAGCAAGAGGGAGACAACAACAGACCTACTGTGTGACAGGCATGGTGGGACCCGGCCCTGCCCTAAGAATGTGGCCACGTGGCCCTAAGCAGCCAGATCTGGACGTAGCAGCATCCTCAGATGAGGGAGTGGGGCTGAAAGAGCTTTTCCCTCCACAGCTCCTAAAGGCACGAGGAGAGAAGCCGAGCCTTGGCCCTCCTGGCTCTAAAGCCATCACTGGCCAAGCCCCCCCAGGATGTGAGGCCATCTTGGCCTGCAGCTGCAGGCCCGCGAGGTCAGCCTGGCCCCACACAGGCTGTAGGGGCCACGCTGCCCGCGTCTCCTCTCTGCAGCAGGCAGAGGGCCCCTCTCTGGCTTTCACCCACGACTATGTGACGAAGCGATGGCCTCCGTGTTCAGACACACTGTCGCTGCCTGCCCCCCTGGGGAGCGGGTCCCAGTGCCGCACGCGTGTGTTAACACAGCCCAAAGTCTGTTATGGGGGAAGTTATGTCCCGTGCTCCCAGCTCCTGCTGGGCCAGCTCTCAAAACTCTGGGGACTTCACGTGTCCCGAGAGGTTAAATGGACTCAACTCAGTGCCCAACAGGACTCGCTGGGTCCTGGGCCATTGCACGGACGAGCTGGGACTTGAGCAGCCCTTGTCTCCTTAGGAGGAAGCTTTATGTGGACATCAAAGTCCCTGTTTGAGATGCTTGTCCATGCACTTCCTCTGATCTTACTTGGAAGGCATCGGAAGGGTGTTTCCCCACTGCCCAGGCGTTGGCTGCGGCGAGGCCTGGGGGTTAATAGCCAGGTACGCGGTGTAACACAGGCAGCAGGGCAGGTCCTGGGGCCTCTGCATTCCTATTAACTCCTCCTGTTTCCTCCTGCAGTGGCCACGGGCTGCAACCCGGGCATAGCACTGACGATGTACTCCCGGCCTGGGTGTCACGTGGACTTCTACGGGAGACCAGAGGCGGCCCCCGCCCCCGCGGCTCCGGCCAGCAGGTTGTCAGTGCGGCAGCTGCTCTTCCGCCGTGGGGCTGCCCTGGCGGCCTCAGTGGCCGTGCTGATGGCGGGCCTTCTGGTCAGGGTCCTGACCACCGGGTACTAACTCGCACAGCCAGTGGAAAGCAGGAAGGAAGAATGGGTGGCCCCAGCACACACGTGTGTGCGCACTCAAACTCGCACACGGTCCAGGTGCAGGCAGGTGCTGGGAATAGAGCACTCCTCAGAAACAGAGCTGTGCAGGGCGCTTCTGTGGTGGCATTCCGAGGGATTCGAACTGCGCGCGCGTGCGGACGATTTTGTTGGGACAAATGGAGCCAGCCCGGGGAACGAGACTCCTGGGATTGCCATGGTCAATGGTTTCAAGTGGGAGATTTCAAATAAAACCCAAACGCCATGATGTTAAGAAATGCCTCTTCCCCAGACACGGCCCCCATTTGTTCATGAAGCTTCTGTGAGATGCTTGGGGCGGGTGCCCACGGGTCCTGTCCAGGCAGCCCCGCTGTGCCCCTCTGGACACTGGCGGCGGGAGAGCCGCCCAGGGCAGGTGGCTGCAAAGCCCCCCTTCTTCCTTTCCCTGCAGTTCCTTCATCCCATCAGCCTAGACTTGGAGAAACACTTTCCCCCGTAGTGGTGAGGATATACACTGGGACACGAACCCCAGCTTGTCTGGCCACACAGCCTCCACTTCTTCAGGCTCAAAGGCGAATCTGGCCTCCCCGGGTCATCCCACGTGGAGGACAGTCCAGCTGCCCCTGCGACTAGCCAAAAATAGGCTCATACATGAAGTTAAGCATTGGTCAAGGCCATGAGAATGGAAACCTGTTCTGAATTCGACGTGCTACAGGCTTGGTTCTCAGTGGCGCTCTCTCAAGGGAAGCCATCTCTGTCACACACACGGCTTAATGACCTTCTACCACCCAAACAGAACAACCGGGCGCAGCCACAGCCTGGCCAACTCATGGGTGAAGCAATTCTAGAACCCATGCCACATTTCCCCAAGTGCGTCCCAAGGTCAACGGGCATTAAGGAAGAAGGGTCCACGTTTAAGGAAGTTTGAGAAACACACCAGCGCCTCCAAGTTTCTGGGGTGCTCTGGTCATGTGCCACGTGCTTTACAAAGGGTTGCCACAGGACCACTGAGTGTGTGAGATCTTATGGGGTTCGTGCCCTGGGCCACGCCCACAGAAGCATTTGTTTTACATCAGTGGGGGGATGCCCCGGGAGGAAGCTGCTCACACACACAGAGGACAATGCAAGAGCTGAGCCAATCTTCTTGGCGAAGAATTCAAAATGACAAAGTATGACAAAGAGAGCTGACACACACCACTTTCTATAAAGGCACGAAAACCCCAGGTTTATAGTTAGAGAAAAGCTGTGGTCAAAGGGTACCTCCGATGGGCTTAGATTCCACAACAGGAGTATTAAAATTCACACCGATTTTATGAAATACATTTATTTGGGAGGGCATATTACTAGGCAAGCCAATGATTTATTTTAATTAAAAATTACAAAGTATGATTTAATACACTCTAATTTTTTTATGGCTGATTATGCTGAAAGTTTAGGCAACTTGTTTATTTAAAGATTTTGTTTATCTGAAAGGCAGAGTTCCAGAGACAGAGAAGAGTGGCAGAGGTCTTCCGTCTGCTGGGTTCACTCCCCAGATCTGCAATAGAGAATGGTGGCCCAGGCTGAAGCCAGGAGCTTCTTCCGGGTCTCCCACACAGGTGCAGGGGCCCAAGCATTTGGACCATCTTCCGCTGCTTTCTCAGGCCACAGCAAAGAGCCGGATCGGAAGTGGAGCAGCCAGGACATGAAGCGGTGCCCATTTGAGTTGCTGGCACTGAAGGTGGAGGCTTAACTGGCTACAATACAACACCAGCCCCAAGGCAACTTTTAACTAAGCTAGGTCAGTGACTAATTCTTAGCACCTTATACTGTGAGAGACATGTTTCAGACAGCCTTAATGGAACTTATTCAACAAAGCCAGTGCTACATTCAAGTGAGTTACAATGCCTCACTGAGTGGACTGGGGGGCCGGGTGGGGTCCCTGCAGCAGGGGAGGAGTACAGCACAGCCCCAGGCTCTGCCAAGGGTCCCGTCTTGCTTGCTCAGATCCTTCACACACACACACACCCCCCCCAAATCAGGACAGCCAGTGGGCTCACTCAACGCTTCTCCAAACTTCTCCCAGGGCTCTGCCATCTCTCTGCCACCTACAGGGCCGAAACCCCAGTCCTACGAGCCAAGGCCTCTTCTTCTGGGAGAGGGAGAGGGAGAGGGAGCGGGGATGCTTCCGCCACTGTACTGAGTCCAGTAGGCAGAATGTACTCAAAGGGATCACTTCAGAGTTTTCAAAACGTGAATTTTACTTCCACTGTGCTACAGAAACACGACATTTCGAGATTTAACTCTTGGAGATTTGTTATCTTGCAGCGATGGGGTCCTGAGAGAGGAAGAGCATGTTTATAATTACTTTTATTACAGTATTTTAAAAACGCTAGTTAGGTTTCATTAAGATGTAGATTCTGTCTCCGGGCCTGGCACCGTCAGAATGACAGGTGCTACGTACACGAAATAGGCAATGGCTTTTTGGGAGCCTGAGGATTTACAAGGTGCTCTGAGTGGTACCAGTCACAGCAGCCACGGGAGGCCTCGGAAGACTGTCCAAGCCAGACACAGGCACGCCTGGGCTGTGCGGATGCCACACGCTGGGACCACGGGGCCAGAGGGCACCGCCTTGAGCTCGAGCCCTCGGGGCCCCACAGGTGAGAGGCAACCCCTGCCCGTGCGGTGCAGTGCCTCAAACCTCAGAGGGAGCTGGGCGGGATCCAGCCTCGGCTCCCGCAACCTCAGAGGACAGCTGGGCTCCTGGACGGGCAGTGCTGGGTGTCTTCCGGCCCCAAGGAGCACTGGTCTCTCCCCCTCAGCCCGGCGGCACGACCTGGGCAAGCACAGCCCGCAGCAGGTCCTCTGAACACCCTCTCAGGGAATGCCGGGGTCTGCCGGCATTGTTCGTGGGCCGTGGCAATGACGGTCAGGCTTGATCATGGTGGATCTGCGTATTTTCTGCTTTGTGGTAGTATTTTTTAAAAAATCACAGGTTCATTAACCACTTAATAGAAGAATAATTCGGTAGAGGCGATTAGGAGATGGAAGAGGGTCAGTCTTCAGTAGTATCCAGTCTAGAGAGAGGAGAGGATCCAGGTTACTCTACTGGTTCAACAGCCCGCCCACAGCCAGCTTGCACCCGGGCACAGCAGCGGGACTCTACCCAGAACTCCTGACCTAAAAGACAATAAATACACCACATGGGAAACGCCTAAGAAGCCCAAGAAAAAAAACCAAAAACCAAAAACCAAAACAAGACAGGCAGTGATGCCCGACTCAATGTGAGGATCTCGCCGTAGACGAGAGTTAGCCATAGCCCTTTATCAGCCTAGCATTTTAAGAAGGAGGCTGGGGGCTCTACGTGAGATTTGAAAACTGAGACACAATTTTGTTTCTAAAATGCAAAGACAGCAATGGACTTGACCCATCCTACCGATGCTGAAGAGGCGCTACCTAAGCCCGAAGGTCAAATGTCACGTGTGTGATTGTCACAGGCTGGATGGCGCTCGTCACCATAAATCTTTAAGCCACCGTTGTGCGTTCTGCGGAGTGGACGCTCCGAATCCTTTCTAACTGTACCCGCCGTGGGTCACACGCAATCCAGACAGACAAGGGAGGTACACTACGAGGAGCCGTCTCGGGAAGCTGCTCTAATCGTGACACTCTTCAAGGAACCGCACAATACAGATTCGCAATCATGAAAACTGCAGGTGACTCGATACAAAGAGAATGAAAAGCTCAAAGGAAAGTGCATAGAACCAGCAGAGGGAAACGAAGCTGACTCTTCACCTCACCCCAGAATAAATTTCAGACACCTGAATAACTAAGGCGTCGACTAAGAGTCATGAGGACCGAGTGGGAGAGTGGAATGTGGCCGCCAACTCCCTCACTCCGTGCGTGGGAAAGCTGTGGCCGTGGGCCGGCTCCCAAGAGGCCTGGCCCGCAGCCATCATGAGGTCCACGTCACAGCCAGGGATCAAAGCCACACTTTGTTTCCAGCTAAAGGCTTTTATATATTATTGCTTCTCCAGGCTCTAGCAACAGAAGACCTGACAAACCCTTTAGGGATCTCAAAACTTCCTGGCACAGCGCAGGGCGCCTGGGGGAGACTCCTTGGCACACACACAGCAAGCTCAGGGAACGGGGACTCGGCCTGGCCCTCCACAGTTTGCACAAGGCTGAGAAATCCCACCCCAACCAAGCAGGTCCAGGTCAGGCTCCTAGGGACAGATAAGGACTAGAACCTCCCGCCTGCCTCCAACCAGGTCCCCAGCCCTGGGAAGATGTAGTGGGAGTAGTAAGCCCTAAAGGCGTGCTGCGCCTTCATTCACTAGGCTACCTGTCAGGAATTCCAAAAGGACACCTTATTTTCAAAACAAAGCAAATCGGAATGACTCAGAGATCCTGAGATTGTTCTCAAGTTATGCAACACAGAGCTTACTGTGTGAATGGGGACTGGGCAGGCCTGAATTGGCTGAGCTTCCCCCAGATCTGTCCTCTTCTGAAATGCAGGCTGCTCCACCACCGTCTCTGCACACGGCTCTTAGATCCCTAGTGCCTCCCCGCTTTAAAGTGGCGGACAGGTCGTACCCCACTGCCACTCTGGGCCAGGACTGAAGATGTCCAGAGACAATACGCGTTCTGATTGCAGAAGCCCCTGAGAAGCAAACAGCTAAAGGAAAACACACCCCCGCGGGGCCCACCTTCCACACAGAGAGAGAACGAGGAGCTCCTACCTCGCTGTGACAGACAGAGCTGGCCTTTGAGATCTGGTCCTCACTGCTTCCTGGGCCCACGCAGGCTGTGAGCTACTAGAAAAATCGACAGGGCCTGTCTCCTCAGCACAGCTTGGTGTTTCTGAGAAAACCCAAACGATTTCAAATGCAACTCGGATCTCCAGCTCCGCCCGTATGCGGTGGGCGAGTCAAGCCCCTTTTATTTCAACAGAGCTGTTTCTATGAACTGGCTCATTCCTGCACCCCTCCCCGCCCACGCCCCGGTGTTGCTCAATGTGTGCCCTCAGCTGGCTGGCCGAGGGCTCCCAGAACACAGTCTCCCTTCCTCTACTCCCTCGTCGCTCTCATCTCCTCCTACACCCCAACGATTCACAAACTGCCCAGGAAGGGCCTCTCTGCAAGGCCATCGCTGCGATGACCGACCACCGAAGACAAACTCCATCCGGTAGACCCGCAAGCCTGTTCAGATCGCCCTGGCCACAGCTGCTCCACCAACCGCCACATCCACCACAGACCTGGCTCCTCCATCCCTGTGGCGTGCTGCTGTCAGAACATTCCAGAACAACTGAACAGGAAGGATGAACACCACAGCCGGGGGTGAGACCGCCCATGACTCCCCAGGCGCAGGTTCTAGGGTGTTCCGGACTCTCAGACCGGAAGTCAGCAAACTGCACCTGCGCTGACGGGGACTCCGCAGGCCGCTCGGCTCAGCTCTGCCCTCGCCGCGGGAGAGCAGCTGCAGACAGCAGGTGAGCGAGCGTGCGTGGCTACAGACAGCAGGTGTGCGAGCACGCGTGGCTACAGACAGCAGGTGAGCGAGCACGCGTGGCTACAGACAGCAGGTGTGCGAGCACGCGTGGCTACCCTTCAACAGCCGCACTGACAAAAAGCAGGCACCACACCGCTGCCTGCTGAGCCTGTCTCGGACTCGGAATGCTAATGTGCCGGCTCGCAGAATTCGAGAATTTTCTAACAGCAGCCCTGCGGGCAAGACTGAAGAGCCGGGGCTGGCAGCAGCCGGGGCAGCCCGGGCCTCAGGGGGCGGGGCGGGAAGCAGCACTCACCTTGACCAGCAGGGCTGCCACGATGCCCAGGACGGCGAGCAGCAGGAGGCCGAGCTTTCCTTTGTGGAACTGTTTCAGGAGGAAAAACTTGGCCCAGTCCACCTTGGACTGGCTGTTGGGGGGGTACCTGAGCTTGTTAGCGCTTTCTCCCTTTAAACTCTTCAACAAGCAGGGGCGCTGGTGGGAAAAAGTGTCAAAAGTATGCTTTCCGTGGTAAGCCCCCATCCCGCTGTGACCTATAAAAGAAGGAAAGAGACAACACAGGTTTCGCTGGGGGGGACACCAAGGAATTTTCCGGTTCGGCCCCCCCCCCCCCCCCCGGCGTGTGGCAAAGGTCTCTGTCCAGGAAAGGGTCTCCCCTGGCCCAGCGAAGCTGAGCTGTCACCCAGGGCTCCTTCCAACAGCAGGGCGAGCACACAGCTCTCTGAGGCCTGTGGCTCTGACGCACGCCCGGGACCGTGCCAAGAGCTTACGTGAAGTCTCTAAGATAATTTTTCCCACAACCCTACTTTGTGAAGCTCGCAGGCCCAGTCACGTGGCTGGCAGGCAGCAAGGCCTGGAACCCGGATCCGTCTGCCCCTACACGTACGTCTCATTCCCATCATTCCCCGTGGCTTTGTTTACCCACAATCCCACTCACTCACTCACTTCCCCAAGCCCCTTGAGAGGAACAAGGACCACGGCCGCAGGGTTTCCAACTGCGGGTCCATGAGCAAGTGTCACAGCGTCGGCCCTCTAAGAAGCCACGCCCTGCGACAGTTTCCATTTCTCCCACGCACTGTGAGAACGACAGGCAGGCAGGTGCAAAACGGGGAGTGTGCGCTGAGCAGACAACGGGCCTGTGCATGGCCCAGGGGAGGTTCACAGGGCCCAGAACGCAGAGCGACCACTCAGGAGGCGACCCCCAGGGGGCCCTGACATTAAGGAAGGGCAGAGGAAGAGGGGGCCGGCCAAAGGCACAGGCAAAGAAAGAGGGAAGTGGGAAAAACAGTGTCCAAAAAGCCGGAGGAAACAGAATTGTGGGAAACATAAAATTCATGGCTATGAAAGCTAGAGAATCCATGAAGGCCACTTAAGTTTTACTGAAGGACATAAAGCGGTTACGGAAACAGAGAGACGTAACACGGCCCCCTTAGGGCTCCCATTGTAAAGAGCCAAATTCTTGCCAAAATGATGTGTTTAGTTCCAAGTAATTTCAACCTAAATCCCAGAGATTTCAAAGAGCTTTCTCTGTGTGTGTGTGTGTGTGTGTGTGTGTGTGTGTTTAGGAGGTAGCAGTGATTCTAAAGTTCACCTAAAGAATAAATTTAGCACTGGACCCTGAAGCACAAACTACGGGCCTGGTTGAATATGTGGGTCTTAGAGACAGGCGACGTGGGCTCCATGGCCACAGGCTCTTCGACTCCCTTCCTGCCTCTCTGTGTGTGTGGACTCAGCCACACTAATGCTACCTATAAAGCTACTTTACAATGAAAACCGTGGGGTTGGCCCAGGGGAGGAGAAACCAGCAAGATAAGGAAACCAATGAGAAAACCCTATGAAAGACCTAAGCATGTGTTTTCTTGAGTTCCAATAGTATGTAAAGATGATTATTCCAAAAAAATGGCGCTAACAGAATTGTTCTACTCTTTGGAGGAAAAAAGATAAAGGGGATAAATAAAATATTTTTTTAAGAAAGATAAAGGGAAGAGTCTCACATCACACAACATCCAAAATAAACTCCATGGTTAAATGTTAAAAAAAAGTCAAATATTGAGGGCAAACACAGGTTGATATTTACCTAACGTCACAGTAGGGAAGACATTCCTAGGCCTACTTCCCAAGTCGGAAACCATAAAGAAAAAGCCCTCCTAGGATCAGCTAACCGAAAGTTTCCAAATCACAGGGACAAGTAAAAAGACAAAATTTTAACCTGGGAAGAAATGCTTCTTACAGATACAACCAAGAATTAATTTTCTTACTTATAAAAAAAAGTCACACATAAGTAAGGGAGAGGTGAACATAGCAAAAATATCAAAAGGACATTAATAGAAAAGTCACGAGAACTAACCAAAAAAAAATTCAACCTCAGGAATAATCAAAGGAAGACAGACTTAGGTGGCAGGTGTTTTGGGTAGCAGTCCAGTAGCGGAACAGTCACGTGGGCGCTCATCTACCATTCCCAGGGATATAGAGGTGCAGCTCGGCAGGGGACTTGGCGATCCCTACCAGAAACCATGGAGACCTGGGCAGGCACTGTGGCCAGCACACTGAGCTGCCACTCGGGATGCCCATACCTGTGTAAGAGTCCTGGCCGCCTGGCTTCCGATCCAGCTCCCTGCTACTGGCCAGCATGTGCACATGAGTCACATGTGCAGACCTGGATGGGGTACCTGGCTCCCGGCTTCAACCTAACCCAGTGCACAACTGTGACTACCAGAAGATGAGCCAAACCCCTTTCATTTAAACATTGCAGCCACTGCGACCACTTGGTGGTGAGCCAGCAGATCAAAGATTCTCTCTTTTTTTCTTATTGTTCCTCTGCCTTTCAAATATGTAAATCAATAAATACATTCAAGATTTATTTATTTATCTGAAAGGCAGAGTAACAGAGAGAGACAGGTTTTCCATCCTCAGGTTCACTCCCTAGATGGTCACAACAGCCAGGGCTGTGAGAGGCCAAAGTCGGGAGCCAGGAGCTTCACCCAGGTCTCCACGTGGGTGCAGGGGCCCAGGGACTTGGGTCATCTTCCACACTTTCTCAGGTGTATTAGCAGGGAGCTGGATCAGAAGTGGAGCAGCTGAGACTCGAACCAGAGCTCATTTGGGAGACCGGTGCTGCAGGCCATGGCTTAACCTGCTGTGCCACAGAGCCAGCCCCAATAATTTTTTTTTTTTATAAATCCCATGAAGACAAACATTGTCAAAGAAAAAAACCTAAACTATATATCAAAATATTAATAATGTTTATGTCTGGGAGTCATTACATTTTTCCTTATAGCTTTCTTGTGTTCTGCTTCATTGTTTGGACTTTTTGCCATTTCAATCTCTGGTACTTTTAGAATCAGAAGATAAGAGGATTTTTGTGTGGAAAACTTTTAAGCCCTTTTAATATAGGAATCAGCTTTCTAGACACTTTTCTGAAAGAAACAATCACAAATCACACAGATATGTAAGTATTATAATATCAAAAACTTTGAAATCACAACAATCTTACACCAGAAATGTATTATGCTAATGTGCCACATTCCTATGAAGGGACAGTGTGTGGTCACAAAATCATGACACGGGAGCTCGGCTGTGGTGCAGGTTAATCCTCCGCCTGCAGTGCTGGCATCCCATATGGGCACCGGTTCTAGTCCTGGCTGCTCCTCTTTGGATCCAGCTCTCTGCTAAAGCCTGGGAAAGCAGTAGAAGATGGACCAAAGCTTGGGCCCCTGAAGAAGCTCCTGGCTTTTTTTTTTTTTGGACAGGCAGAGTGGACAGTGAGAGAGAGAGAGAGAGACAGAGAGAAAGGTCTTCCTTTGCTGTTGGTTCACCCTCCAATGGCCGCTGCGGCCAGCACACTGCGCTGATCCGATGGCAGTGCTTCTCCTGGTCTCCCATGGGGTGCAGGGCCCAAGGACCTGGGCCATCCTCCACTGCACTCCCGGGCCACAGCAGAGAGCTGGCCTGGAAGAGGGGCAACCGGGACAGAATCCGGCGCCCCGACCGGGACTAGAACCCGGTGTGCCGGCGCCGCAAGGCGGAGGATTAGCCTAGTGAGCCGCGGCGCCGGACTGGCTCCTGGCTTTGGATCTGCCCAGCTCTGGCTGTTGTGGATGGAAGATTCTTCTCTCTGTCTCTCTGTCTATAACTCTACCTCTCAAATAAATAGATAAAATCTTAAAAAAAAAAAAATAACAACATGTAGGCAGGATGCCATAGGGTTGTGTGTTGTCCTGTGACATAAAGGTTAGGAAACAATATGCAACAGGACTCCTTTCAATAAAACATTCAACTGTATGTGAGTATGCATGTGTGTCACAGACACACACCAGCTGTCTGGCACTATGGGTGATTTAAACTTTTATTCTTTGGGTAATTTACAGTGGAGTTGTGGGGAATTTTCTTATTCCCTGGATTCTTCTATCTTTCCCACATTTTCTTTAAAAAGCCTGTACTCCTTCTGCATTTAGGGGAGAAAGCTAGTTTTGTTTCAAAGAGGATACGGTTGGTGATGGCATATGCTACCTCATCAAGTAGGACAAGGACTGAACCCAAGCCCCTGAGATTTTCAATATGGGGCACTGTGATCCCACCCAGAACAGTTATAGAGCTGTCTGCTTCAACAGTTCCGTGGGAGCCAGGATCTTGTTGGCTGAACCGAGGAATGAAGGACAACAGAGCATAAGCCAAACTTTTTTTTTTTTTTTTTTTTTGTTGACAGGCAGAGTGGACAGTGAGAGAGAGAGACAGAGAGAAAGGTCTTCCTTTTGCCATTGGTTCACCCTCCAATGGCCGCCGCGGCCGGCGCGCTGTGGCCGGCGCACCGCGCTGATCCGATGGCAGGAGCTAGGAGCCAGGTGCTTTTCCTGGTCTCCCATGGGGTGCAGGGCCCAAGCACCTGGGCCATCCTCCACTGCACTCCCTGGCCACAGCAGAGGGCTGGCCTGGAAGAGGGGCAACCGGGACAGAATCCGGCGCCCCGACCGGGACTAGAACCCGGTGTGCCAGCGCCGCTAGGCGGAGGATTAGCCTAGTGAGCCGCGGCACCGGCAAGCCAAACTTTTAAGAATTTGGGCTGTGGGGGGCCAGCATTGTGGTACCTGGGACACCAGCATCCCATATGGCTGCCAATTCGTGTCTTAGCTGCTCTACTTCCAATCCAGCTCCCTGCTAACGGCCTGGTAAAAGCAGCAGCAGATGGCCCAAGTGCTTGGGCCCCCGCCACCCACATGGGAGACCTAGAAGAAGCTCCAGGCTCCGGACTTCAGCCTGGCTCGGCTCTGGCCACTGCAGCCATCTGGGGAACAAACCAGCAGAAGGAAGCTCGGTGTCTGTGTGTCTTTCTCTCTCTGTAACTCCAGCTTGCATATACATAAACAAATCTTAGGAGAAAGCAAGAACTCAAGCTGTAAATCTGCAATCATTCCAACCGCGACCCCAGGAGCCACCATCTTTCACTCAGTCCCTTTCTCACACTCACTCCATCGGCAGCTGCTGCTGCTTAGCCCCCAGAATAGTCGCTCCCCTCCCACGCTCACCCTCTCTAGTCTGGACCCGGCCAGATCCACTGGCCTCTGCCCACCTCAGCTCACGTGCGTCAGGCACTCTGCGGGTGCTGGCAAGATGTTTGCATCCCAAAGGGGACCTCAGCACTCACCAGCAGTGGCCTGGGTTCCTTGGCCATGGGACAAGGTCTCCTTGCCCAGGGACAGCTGGCCCTGCCACGCTGGCCCACTGTGTGATGTGCAGTCATTGATTTATGATATCACAGAGCGAGAGAGCGAGAGCGAGAGGATAATGGAGGGCTTGTGAAGACTGGTACTTTCACAATCTGCTCTGCTGCTCCGCCAGTTTTTACGATCGGTTGTTTTGTGATGTTCCTGGGTAGGCAGTGGACAAGCCTGCCACCCAAGTCCCAGGGGAGAAGTGAGGCGTGAGTCAGTCATCTCGGGAATGGGAAACGGGGGCAGCTCACAGCCCCACGGGAACGGCCGGACCAGGCCGCGTCCACAGGGCCGCCTGGGGAACCAATTTCTTTCCAAGCACAGACCCTGGAGCACAGGATCGCGTGCGCCCCCAACCACAGGGAAAGGGCTCTCCTCTCCACGGGCGATAGGAGACTGCAGGGAACGCCTGGATCCCACTGCAGGCTTCTTTGCGTAGAAAACAAAGAGCCAGTAGAAGGTTCTCTTACGGCTGTCAGCCCCCAGCATTCTGAACATTTCCTCCACTACCTCACTTTAAAAAAAAAAGAGGGAGAGATCAGAGAGCTTATTTAATTAATGAGAGACTGATTCTTGGCACTGCAATCTCCTAAATCTAAAAGAACAATAAACAAGTGAACAGAGTCATTATAGCCATGGGCAGTGCTACCGAGGACAGAAATAGAGCAGGGAAGCGGGCAAACCAACGTCAACTGGGTGGCCCCGAAAGGCCCCTCTCGGGAGAGGACAGCCACGGGGGACCCACAGAGGAAGCAGCGGGAACTTCCTCGGCAGCCTGCCTGTGACTCGTGGCGGGGAGGAGCTTCTGGAATGTTCGCCAGGAGCACGGGAGATCTGTACTTACCCACTCCTCCAAAGGGCAAGGAGTTGAGCGTGAAGTGCATGATGACGTCATTGCCTGTGACACCACCACTGGACGTCTCGTCAATCATCCGTCTGATGAGCTGGGGACAGACCAAAGGCGTCCGGGTCACCGACACTGTGCTAAGGGGGCACTCGCTACCACTCACGCGGGAACCATCACCCTGGCTTTGTGTGCCAGCAGGAGTTCTTGGTGTGGGGGACATACGCCAACAGCCTTAGAAACAACCTAATTCGCTGTTCATCTCTAAGCTGAAAATCTGAAATCCAACACTTGCTGAGTACCAACAGGATGCCACGAGTGGAAAATTCCACAGCTGATCATGCAAGGGGCCTCGGTCAAAATGCAGGTGTGCTAAAAACACTGCATACAATTACCTCTGGGTGGGGACAGGAAACATTAATGAGTTTTGTGTTTAGACTTGTTTCCATCCCTAAGATATCTCATTATGTATGTGCATATATTCCAGAACCTGAGAGAATCTAAAACACGTCTGGTCCCAAGCAGTGCAGAACAGGGCTACTTGACCTGTACACAAAGGAGCCGCCCTGGACCTTACGGCCTGTGCTAGCAAAAGGCTCTGGATTACAACGAACAATTCAGACTATATTCTGGCCTTTAAAAATAATTTTATTATTTTTCTTTTTTTTTTATAGGCAGAGTTAGATAGTGAGAGAGACAGAGAGAAAGGTCTTCCTTGCGTTGGTTCACCCCCCAAATGGCCACTACGGCCAGAGCTGTGCTGATCTGAAGCCAGGAGCCAGGTACCTCCTCCTGGTCTCCCATGCGGGTGCGGGGCCCAAGCACTTGGGCCATCCTCCACTGCCTTCCCAGGCCACAGCAGAGAGCTGGACTGGAAGAGGAGCAACCGGGACAGAACCAGCGCCCCAACTGGGATTAAAACCTGGAGTACCAGCGCCGCAGGCGGAGGATTAGCCTAGTGAGCCGCGGCGCCGGCCAATTCTATCATTTTTCAATCATTGCTGTAAATTATAGCACGTGAGTACTAGGTTTGTTTTTAGTCCTTATGAAATGCTAACCATATATAGGACTGGCCTAAGGCACAAAGAGGGGCAATAATGCTTTATTAGTAAATGGTCATTTCGCCTGGGTGCCAAGGCCAAGGTCAAGTCTGCACTGAAACGACCTCAGGTGACCTACTGCTGGGCCGTGCTTCCCCACCCAGTTGCACCTGACCAGGAGACTACGCCTCACATTGTCTGCGGTCACTGCCAATGTCACACAATCATTTTGTTACCAGCCACGCGTCACAGGCCCCACGCGTCACAGGCCCCACATGTCTGGTCTCACTTCAGAAGTCTGTACCCTGTGCTCTCCATAGCGCTGCGGGTCCAGAAGCCAGCCTGTGACCCATTGCACTTTCCTGCTTCTAGTTTTCCTGTTTCTCCACAGGATCCTGAATTCCTCGCCCACCCTGAGGCCAGTGTCCCGTAGCAGCCACCAGGCACCTAGTGACATCAATGCCTGCGCCTCGAGCAAAGTGGCAGAGCTGCTCGACCTGCGGGGATGCGACGCGCTCCACTGAGTCATTCGAGAAACTGAGTTCCAAGACATCACTGCATTAACACACCAGGGCCAGAGAGCTCCGTCCCACCCGGCCCATCTGCCGTTTCAGTCAAGGGCAGGCTCTTGCACACAGCAATGCCCCCTGGATTAACATCAGCAAAGCATCGAATGCTAGTACATCTAAGTCTTCCAATTATCTAGGAGCCATTTGTGAGTCAAAAAGCCTTGTGGGGCCAGCGCTGTGGCGCAGCGGGTTAAAGCCTCAGCCTGCAGCACCGGCATCCCATATGGGCGCCAGTTCAAGTCCCGGCTGCTCCTCTTCCCATCCAGCTCTCTGCTGTGACCTGGGAAAGCAGTAGAAGATGACCCAAGTCCTTGGGCCCCTGCAACCGTGTGGGAGACCCGGAAGAAGCTCCTGGCTCCTGATCAGCTCAGCTCTGGCCGTTGCAGTCATTTGGGGAGTGGACCAGTGGAAAGGAAGACCTCTCTCTCTCTCTCTCTCTCTCTGCCTCTCCTCTCTCTGTGTAACTCTAACTTTCAAATAAATAAAATGATTCTTAAAAAAAAAAAAAAAAGCCTTGTGATACTCCCCACTACAGTCTGAGACCTACCCCAGGGAACTGGGGAGAAAGGATGCAGGGATAACCCCGGGGCCTCATTAGTCAAGACAGCTCACTACACAAACACAACGTCCCCTGGCGCACGGTGATATGACAGAAATGACATCATCCTTTGTTGAACAGCACACGAGGTGACTTGTGGGAAGTCACTATGATGAGGAGCTGTTCCCTCCCAGACTTACCTTATCGTTATGAGAAAATATATAGAGAGCCAGGGGCTTTTCACGTTCATTTATGAACTGTATAGCTTCGTCTGCGTTTTTCACAGGCACTATCGGAAGAACTGGTCCGAAAATTTCTTCCTGCATCACTTTGGCTTCAGGGTCAACATCAGTCAGTACTGTCGGGGCTGAAACGAAAACACACAAAGTGCAAATGCTGAAGTGGGAGATTAAAAAAAAAAAATCCAAGTCTCCTGTCTCGCACTTTTTATTTGTGTCTTCCATGTGTTTCGTCTGTCTCATCTATTTGTTTCGCCCTTTGCCTCTGCCACCCAAGTCAGGTCTCCAGAGAAAAGTCCCGAGTCCGTGGATGAAGCCATGCAGATGTCTCTGAAGTGGGATCTAAGGCATCCCTGTGTGAGAAGATGCCAACTCGGGAATATATCTTCACATTTCATGCTGCACACAGCCATGTGCATGGTTTAACTGAGGTGCTGGTTCTCACGGATGAAAGCACAGACAGCTCCTCCGTCCAGCAAATGAACACTTCCCCCTTAAGTGCTTTCGTGCATAGCATCTCACTGGCTTGTACTTCTCCTCTGTGAGACAGATCCAGAAAAGACACTGAAAGGGTCAGTAGTCCCTGCCCCTGTTCCCGTGTTCCATTTGCCACAGGCAAGGGGCTCCAGAAAGGGCAACATGGATGGTGAAGGGGCTGCACCTGTTCCAGCAGCCATGCCACTTAGCAGTGCCCAGAAAGACCTGAGAAACCGGTCTTCAAATGAAAGAAGGCATCGAGAACAAGCAGCTGGCTTTTTCCCTACTCCTGGTTTCTCGTAGGCAGTCCTGGCACGTGGCTGAGGACACCATTCCAGGTGTGTATCGGTCGATGCCCACGTCTTCCTCGGGTCGGAGAACCTTGGTTTGGGCATCCAACCTCCTCGGCACGGCTGTGTGCTCAGCCAAGGCGACCCAGGCAGGGGCAAGTGCCAGTCAATCGAAGCTAATCGTAATAACCCCTCCCCCTGGCCAATGATCAGTCTAGAAGCAGACAAAGGCAATAGGCCGAGGATGGGAGGAGGGAAAGGTGGAGAAGTAACCGCTAAAGCCCCCAGCTCAGCAGAGCCTTGAGACAGCTCATCAGAAGAGAAGAAACGTTTCCTCATTACTCATGGCCTTCAAGCTGGATTTTTTGAAGCCAGGCTTTTGGTGATCCACAGCATCCTATCTGGTGAGTGGGCATAAGCAAAGCTATTCTGGGCTGCTTCTTTGCCAACCAAATGTATCTGTGATTTTTCGGTCACCTTGCATGTTACTTCAGAAAAAATGGAGTTCAGACTCAAAGTAATACATGTTCATGGTAGAAAAGAAAGAACACAAAGAAGGCGAACAAATAAGGAACAAATCGCAAGTTCAAGCATGACAGGCTAAGGCTTGCTTTCTGGAATGGGACTGTCGCTGGCGAGGTGCAGAACTGTGGTGAAGGTCTTTCCTTTGTGCTGTTTTCCCATTCATAAACTGGAGAGCATCACATAAAGGATCGTTAGGAATAGAAACGGTTAAATAACACATGTGTAGGGGCCAGCGCTGCGGCGTAGCGGGTAAAGCCGCCACCTGCAGTGCCGGCATCCCATATGTGTGCCGGTTCAAGTCCCGGCTGCCTCACTGCTAATCCAGCTCTCTGCTGTGGCCTGGGAAAGCAGTGGAAGATGGCCCAAGTCCTTGGGCCCCTGCACCCACGTGGGAGACCAGGAAGAGGCTTCTGGCTCCTGGCTTTGGATCAGCACAGCTCCGGCCATTGCGGCCAACTGGGGAATGAACCAGCGGATGGAAGACCTCGCTCTCTCTCTCTCCTCTCTGCCTCTCCTTCTCTCTGTGTGTAACTCTGACTTTCAAATAAATAAATAAATCTTTAAAAAAAAAACACACATGTAAACATGAAAGGCCAGTGCAACTCAGGTGGAATAACGAAGCATGCATACATATACAGATCTGTCAGTAGCTTATAAGAAGAGCAGTATACCAGAAAGCAGTATTTTTTTAATAGCTTAGTAAATAAACACTATATAGGCAAGCCTCTTTAGTATCAGTATGTAGTGTTACGGGTGGTACAGGACTTTTCTTCCCGAAGCTCATGCAGATGTTTAAACTGGGAAGCCTCCATGTTAGTGGTTGATGGGCCAAGGGTGCAGGCTTGATCTAAGGATGGCCTCTGAGAGGCGGGTCTGGTGGGAGGCCTTTGGCTCCCTGGGGGTGTGCCCTTCAGGGTGGTTCCTGAGACAGGCCTGATTACGGGAGTTCAAGTTCTGCCTCGCTGTCCTTTTTGGCTTACAGTGTGACTATCACTCTGCACCAGCCATGACCTCCACAGACACCGGCAATGGGGCCACCTGATCCTGAACCCTAACCTTCGAACTGTAAACTGAAACACACCTTCCCTTTCCCAAGAAGCTCCTCTCAGGGATTTTAGCTAATGAAAGGCTGATACAAGGAGTGTCAGTACAACCTGCCAAGCTGCTCTGCTTCCCGTAGGACCGGGTGGTTTCCATTACCTATGTAGCGCGTGGCCTCGTCGGTCTCCCCACCAAAAGCTATCTTTTGTCCTTCAAGCAAACTTTGTATCCTCTTAAAGTGACGAAGATTGATGATCCGTTCATAATCAGGAGACTCTTTTATGTTTTCTCCATAAAATTCCTATTTAAAACAATAGGAGTATTTAATTGTCACAAAATCCCACACATAGGATCTTCAAAAAAAATTTATGGAAAACACATACTGTGAAAGAAACCATGCATACATTTAAAAAATCTCCCATCCAAATAAACCTACATTTTCATTCAATTGTCCAGGAACTTCTTGAAGCACCCTCATGTTTCAATTGCTTTAAGTAAGGGCAAAATCCACCCGCGCCCAAAAATTGGCCTGCTATCATATCCTCACAGAATCCAACACACATTCTCCCCACGAAATAATTTAACAGTAGCACAGAGGTAGTAAGTGAAAGCTTTTTGGCAGGTCAAGGACAAGAAAATAAACCATTCCTACCTGCCCCCCCAATAGATCTATCATTTTCCATAGTTCTGGAAGGTTCCCAAGGATCTACTACTGTAGTCCATCCCTGGCTCTCCCGGGGCAGGGCTGTGGCAGTGGGAGCAGGCGAAGGGAAGACGTCTTGGTCTGGAGCAGGTCACTCATTTGTTCTTATAGTTGGTGACCACCACTCCCCTACACCAAGCTGTACAGAAACCCAGAGTCTGCAAGGCCTAATCTGCTACCTGCCGTTTACAGAAAACGTCTGTTGACCTCTGCCCCATTTTGTTGTTACATCTTCTCTGGACTGATCGATCTTTCACAGATCACAGCACTCAAATGGTCAAAACAGAGCTTTGCTAAATTACCATGACAGAAGAACCTCAATAAGCACACAACCAGGACTTTCTATGAAGACAATCACAAAGTTACCGAAGCAACCCCGGGGATCCACCCGCCCTCTCCCCATCCCACAACTCCCTTCACAGTCTCCTGTTCTGGATCCGCTGTCAGTCTTACCATTGATGCCCAACTCCCACATCCAGACCCCAGCACCTCACCCCAGGTCCCTGCCCGCTGCACGCCGTGAAGCATTTCAGTGAACTTGCTGGCACACAATTTCCACTCTCCAGTCATCTGCATCGCTCTGGTATTTTTGATCCTTGTTTCAGTGCTCAGTCAAGATTCAGGGTGCACAACGAGCACTCCAGAACTTTCTTTCACCCAGGGGGCCGAGGGGCCCCCTCACACCACTGACCTCGATCACCCTGCTCATCCTGTTCCTTCCTACCAATCCCGATTGCACACTTCATTCACGTCTTGGCTTATGACACTACCATGCAGCCGTCCTTAATCTCCTCACAGCAGATCCTTACTTTAAGCACGCCCAAAGCCTGACAGCCATATAGAGGGCACATTATAAGTAGATATTTAATCAACTCACTCCTTCCAACTTCTGGTCCTCTATAGACATAAGAACTGATAACCTTAACCAGCAAGAGCCACGGGTCTCTAATTATACAGTAAGAGATTGGTGCTCTTCTCGGAACCACGGAGGCACAGTTAATTTTTAAGCGTGTGCCATAACTGATCCCTAACAAATCGACTAGACGGTCACATGGATTTAACACCAACCTAATCTTGCTTCCAGCAGACATCCTAGGGAAGCTGCACAGAACACTTTCAATTAGCCAGAAAATTAATTCAGTCCCAGATGCTACTGGAATTCTCCCAGGTGGAAGAGGGCATGGAGACGCTGCCTGCAAATCGTTAAGCCGATTCCTTGTCTTGCTGAAATCAGTGGGCTCGGGTGTGTGGAGCACAAACCTGCACGGTTTCCTTAATCTTCTGCACAATGTGGTTCTGCAGGGACGCTTCACAGAGAACGTAGTCGGGAGCAATGCAGGTTTGGCCACAGTTCATGTACTTCCCCCAAGTTATGCGCCTGAGGGACAAAAACACAAATCCGCCCAAATATTCATTTGTTAGGCACGCTGTTTGTGGTGTTTAAATGGTTTGCAACTGAAATGCTTTCCTGTTTTTACTTGATTCTGTTTATTAAAAAAAAATAAAAACTAGTCTCGACATCAGTCAGTTGGAACTTAGATTAATTTACATTTTCCGGCTGAGGAAGACGATTCTAAGGAGCAGGAGAGTTCTGAAGCCAGCTCGGGGAAATGGGACGTGCAGTGATGCCACACTGCCAGCTGTAGAGAAAGCGGACACAGCATCCCAACAGCCCCTTCCCGCTCCAGCCAAGGGCGTCTACTGCGTCACAGGACCTAGCTGCACACTCCGCCTCTCCCCATTTTGGCAGGATGTTCAGGGACAAAGCAGGATGAGTGCCAGCCTCTCAGATCCTTCCCCTCTACCAGGATCCTTCTCCACTACGGCAAGCCCTTCCTACACAGGGAACACAGCCCAAAATCTCAACACCCACCCACTCACTCACTCAGGGTCTCTCGTGCGAGCCATTATGCTCTACCTCAGAAACCCTGACCTAACTCCCTCCCGCCTCCTTTGCTCCCTGTCCGTGACAGGGAGAGGAAGCTACACTATCCAGAGCACAGTGTCAGCTCTACGTCCTGGTACCTCCTGATGGCTGAACTTGACATAGCAGAGGGAATCTGAACCCTTGTATTTCCTAGTTCTCAGGCGCAAGATGCTATTCCCAGCTACAAAATCAGTAATACTGGTGTTTCTCAAGAGATCAACTTCCAGCTGCAAATTTAAAGATTGTATTAGGCACACACAATCCTTTGGATTATCTACTTCCTGGATCATCTATTGAGAGCATTCAAGTTTCTTGCCAGACTTGTCTGTATTCTGGAGAACAGAAATTCCTAAGGACAACCACGTGATGCCAGGACCTACGGTCCCTGACTTCTCACAGCGGCACCAAGGGACAGTCTGCGAGAGCCCTGGTTGTCTTGACAACCCCTTCATGATGTTGTCTTTGTGCCATCAGGCACAGGGTTCAAGCACAGAGGATGAGGAGGCTACTGCTATGAGCTAGGCAGAGCGGAGAGCCAGCCTCACCTGCAGACAGTGTCCAGGTCACAGTCTTTATCGATGTAACATGGACTTTTCCCTCCCAGCTCAAGAGTCACCGGGGTCAGATGCTTGGCCGCAGCTTCCATGACGACCCTCCCGACGGCAGCATTTCCCGTATACAGAATGTGGTCAAAGCGCTCCTTCAGGAGCTCCGTGGTTTCCTTCACGCCACCGTTCACGACAGCGTACAGGTCCTGAAGAAAGAGAAACGGAAGCTCCTGCATTGCCAAGGTCACTGTAACGCCAACACCAGCAGTGCCTTCAAGTAAACGTGCAAACTTCAGGAAAACCCGGAGACCGTAAAGAACAGTGAGGGACGGGACGGATGACGTAAGAGAGGGCTGACCAAGGACAAGTGCAGGACAGAGCCGCTGGCACAGGGGAACCGACAGCCTCATTGGGATGGCCCCAGAGGCACCCTAGTTTTCTACCTGAGTTAGGCAATCGAGACACAGGTGAGGGCAGATGGTGGACTTGAGCAGGGAAATGCAGGTCATGTGTGTGTGTGTATGTATGTGTGTATCTGTATGTGTGTGTGCATGTATGTGTATGTGTATATGTGTACGTGTATATGTGTGTGCGTGTATGTGTATGTGTGCATGTATGTATGTGTATATGTGTATGTGTGTGCGTGTATGTGTATGCATGTATCTGTATGTGTGTATGTGTATGCATGTGTGTATGTGTACGTGTGTGTATGTGTGTATGTGTATATGTGTATGTATGTGTGTATGTGTATATGTGTATGTGTGTGTATGTATGTATATCTGTATGTGTGTATGTGTACGTGTGTATATGTGTGTATGTGTATGTATGTGCATATGTGTATGTGTGTATATATGTATGTGTATCTGTATGTGTGTATGTGTATATGTGTACGTGTGTATGTATGTGTATGTGTGTGTATCTGTATGTGTATGTATGTGTATATGTGTACACGTGTGTGTGCATGTATGTGTGTATGTGTATGTATATGTGTACACGTGTATGTGTGTGCATGTATGTATGTGTATATGTGTACACGTGTATGTGTGTGCATGTATGTGTGTATGTGTATATGTGTGTGTATGTGTGTTTGTATGTGTGTGTATATGTGTGTGTGCATGTAAGCTGAGGATTTTGGTGAGAAAGTGGCTGCTGCCAATGGCCACACAACAGATCTCAGCTGCATGTCTTGAACTGAATGTTCTCTTCTCTGCACACACAGCAGGGCTCAGCCCACGACAGGATGCTGAACGAGCGGTACACAGCACGGCTGAGAGCGCTCGCTTGCAAAGTCCATCTGGGCTGAATCTGGGCTCTGCCACTTGCGGATTTACGTGACATCGGGCAAGCTGGGGACTTCTCTGGCCTCAGCTCCTCCTCCCCAGCTGCTGGGAACTGAGCCCCTGTGTGCACTGGACTTGGCTTAGCGGCTGTTCTGTGAGAGAGAACACCCTGGACAGGGCAGAGAACACAGGACAAGGAAGGGAGACCAGGGAGATGTTCAGAAGATTCTGAGGGAGCATGAAGCTGGCTTGTGGGCCACACGGTGCCATGCGGTCTGCTCTTTGAAAGACTAAGCAGTTCGCACTCACCACGTAGTTTAACAGCCCAACCCATGTTTCTGGTTTTAACTTTGCTAAGGCTTTGTCTACAGAGCAGGTGTGAGTGACGCCTCCTTCCCAGTAAGCTAACAGCAACAGCAACTGTCCTACCCCCAACTGGACTGCTGAAACATGTACACCTGCTAAAGGGCAAAGCAGGCCCCTCCTCCTCCAGCTTCAGATTCCAAGTCCCCACACAATCCCTGACCTCTCCCTTCCTTCCAAATTACCATTCCTGGGGGAGGGGAGGAGGATAGCCACGCCTATAGGAACACAATTGCTCTCAGGGCTGCCTTAACACTGATAAGAGCCAGCCTTGGCCTGAGGCCACTGCAAATTAACAGGTGAGATACCGGTAGGAATTTTAAAGTTGTCTTTTGTTGAAAACAAAGTGAGACTTCTCCCTGCAGCCAGTGCAGGTGGAGCTCCTGGAGCCCCTCCCAACCCCAATTTCATGGTGGCGTCACAGTTTTCCTCCCTAGCAGGGAGCTTTCAATCCTCTCAAATGCCAACAGCGGAACCCCAGGGGCGGGGCTACACCCTCTGGCTCTCCTAGGCCACTTTTCTTTCTGACTCTTCCTGCCACATACATCCTTTTTTTTTTTTTTTTTAAGCAGAAGTACTCTTTCGTAATCACACAGATTGCCAAGTTGTTAGGATAAAAGAGATGGTCAGAGACAAGGGGCACCCAGCACGCTACCAGTCTCTCATAAATTAACTCACTAAATGAATACCTCTACAGCATAAGGTAGTGCAAACAAGGATTAATCCAACATGTCGCACGGTGGGAGATCTATCAATAGCAAGCGTGCCCGTGAAGCCAGGGGCCTAAACACATGTAACCGTCAGGGCTGGGCCATCCGCACTGCATTTTGGAACTTAATTTCTTATAGGAAGCCAACTGTTGGGCACTTGGGGAAACTGCAGATGCCTGGCCAGCAATGACATGCGTCAGCCGGAGGATCTAACGTGTGTTTTCCATGACGAACCGCTGTGTTCAAGACGGGGCAAGACATTCTTACCTGGTCTAAGTACTGAGGGAGCAGCTTGGCCAAGACCTGAGCCGTGTGTTCACTTAGTTCAGAAGGCTTGAGGATCACGGCGTTCCCTAGACACAGCACAAAGCAGAAGAGACTGGTAGCCGGACACTTCAATCACAGCTGTCAGAATGGTGTTCGCGCAGGGAATCCAATTACTGCCGCCTTCCTCACAATGAGCGTCATCGTTCTCTTCCGTGTCACCCCCGCCTCACACGTGCACATCTCACTGGCAACAGGCTCCAGCGGCCTTGCCTCCCTCTCCAGCTTTCTATCACTTCTCTCCCTCAGCCCTCGGGTTTTCCTCTCTACCCTGGAATCACTGGGCAAATAGGTTATGTCAACATGAGCTGTTGATCTAGATCCTGCGGAGTAAGAAATTATTCTCTCGGCTTTGGCTCTACACCCAAGCCACCGTTACTCACAGAGCCTTTATCTGAATGCAGAAGCTGGTCGGGCAGAATCAGGTGTTTGTCCAAGACCAGAGTCGGCAGCTGGGACCACAGCAGATCCTGACTCCAACCCCTTACAGGTTCATCCCCCCGGCACTTGGAAACTTGGCCATGCGGAGGTGGGTGCCGTGTTGTAACAGGGTAAGCCAGGGCTTGGGATGCCTGCATCCCATTCCAGAGTGCTGGTTCCAGCCCTAGCACCTCTGCTTCTGACCCAGGCTCCTGCTACTGCATCCTGGGAGGCAGCAGTGTTGGCTCAAGGGCCAGGGCCCCTGCCAGGAGTCCCTGCGAGGAGCTCCAGGCTCCTGGCTTCAACCTGGCCCAGCCCTGGCTGTGGTGGGAGTTTGGGGAATGAGCCAGCAGATGGGAGATTCTCTCTCTCTCCCCTGCTCTGCCTTTCAAGTAGATGAAAGTAAATAAACATTAAGAAGTAATCACACATATCCCAGCAGCCCACTTAGAAACACAACGAGAGAGAATGAACCCTTCTAAAGAGGCGTTCAGACACAAAGTGGCACCAGACCTGCAGCGATGGCGCCGATCAGCGGCTGAATGGTGAGGACGAACGGGTAGTTCCAAGCTCCGATGATCAGGACGACTCCCAGCGGCTCGGCCTGAACATAGGCCTCGTCCAGCATGGTGAACAGGTTCTTCTTCACCGGCTTAGCGGTGACCCAGTCGGCAAGATTATTCAGCATAAAGTCAATTTCCCCAAGGATGGTAATGACTTCCTGACTGTATGCATTCAATTCGCTCTGTTGTCAAAGAGTCACAGTTAACCTTGCGCAGCGAGTATGATCCACGTGGCCCAGAATGTCAAAAACCCCAGGCGGCGACGGCTGGTTAGCAGTCCAGACTCCTTCAAACCCTCGTAAGCACCTGCTGATCCCTTCCTGCTATAGTCAATGCCTCTAAACCCTTCTCCACTGATTCCAGCCTTCTCAAACTCCAACTGAAACACGGCCTCTTCCAGGAAGACCTCCCTGATTCAGGGTGGCCTGCCTCGATCACACTTCTAATACCTTAGCAAATAGGCTTTTGATCTGTATCTTAACATTCTACCCTCAACAATGTTTAACTCTATTTACATTTTACCTGTGCATGTTCTGATTCTTAAGTTTAAAACCCTCAGGGGCAGGGCACTGACGTCTCCAGTAATCCTACATAACACACGCTCACACATCTGATGCTTGCAAACAAATGGTTCAGGCTTTTCGGAAGCTTACTCTATCTTGTTTATTTAATATCATGGCTCCTTCCCACCAAAACATATAGAGCAACCCACGGAGAGGAGCTACATGCACGCCCCCAGAGCGCCCGCAAACGCACACCGGGGTGGGGGGGCTAACGCCAACGCCGGAGGCTCCGGCTTTATCGACATCGCTGGCGACGTCACTCCCACGGGGACAGCGTAACCCCAAAGCCAAGCAAACAAAATAAAACCCCGAGCTGCGGCAGAGCGAAGCCCCCGAGCGGCGTCCCGCGACCCCCGCCCGCCCGCGGCCGCGCGCCCACCTTGCACAAGTCGGCGGCGATGGCCGCCAGGATGTCCGCCTCGCGCTCCTGCACCATCCTCCGCAGGGCCTCGAGCTGCTGCAGCCGGAACCGCAGGGGCCGCGAGCGGCCGGATCGGAACGCCCGGCGAAGCCGCTGCACCTCGCGCTCCATGGCCTCGTCCTGACAAGAAAAACGAGAGAGAAGTCGGCGGGAGCCGCGGCGAGGGGGCGTGGCGGGCCCCGCCCCGCTCCTCCTCCGCTTCTCCCCTCGCGGGGCGCCCACCGTGGACCCCGCGCCGCGACTCACTGCCACTCAGTCGCCACGTCCGGACAGGACTTCAGCCAGGGCCAAGTCCAACTGGCGACCCCGCGGCGCGGCAGGGCTGGGCGTGACCCCGAGGCGCGCGCCCATTGGTCCGGGCGGCCCACGTGACCGCCGGATCAGGCCGCGGCCACGCCCCCTCCCCGGGGCGCGGCCCTCTGCGGAGCGCGCAGTCCCGCGCTTACTTGCCCGGCTGCTGGGGGGCGCTGTCCCGGCGCTCGAGGCTACGCGGGGCTTGGTAGGGGGAGGTCGGGGTGTGCGCGGCTGGAGCGCCGAGGTTGGGGGCTGCGGAGCGGGGCCGCTGGGAAGCGAAGCCTCCGGGTGGCTCCAGGAAGCGGAGAGAGGCGTCTTGGAGCAGCGGCGGGGCTGAGGCGCGGCGGTGGGCCGCTGGCTGAGAGAAGCGAGTCAGGCAGGGAGCGCCCGGACCCCGACGGGTCGCGGCCCGCGCCCCCCAAAGCGCCCTGCGGAGGCGTGCTCCCCTTCCTCTTCCATTTTGTGGCTCTTCAGATGTGGCCGGATGCGCGGCGGCGCGAGCTGCCGGCAGCGCCGGGCGTCGGGCGTCTGGGTCCCGGCACCCACCTCCCCACCCTCACCCTGTCCCTCGGGCTCCGGCTCCTCCCTCCGCGGATCGGCCGTCCCCACCCAGGCAGCGCCTCAGTTCCTGCGAGGTGGCTCCCCTACCCACTCTCCCCGGGGGCAGGGGGCCGAGACTGCGGCATGAGCAGGGTCGTCAGAGAGCTCGTGGAAAACCATGCACGGGTCGCAAGAATTCTTTGCATGAAAACAAGCTTATCTCTCTATCCCATTTCCCAGGAGCTTGTTGAAGTATCCTCATGCATGCATTATCCTCTTCCATTCTTGCATGAAAGAATTCCCTTTCGGCTGCAGGTCACCTGCGGGCCCCGACTCCCCGTGTTACAGCAGAACCCCCCAAAAGGAAACCCACCCGCTTCCTCGTTGCTAACCCAGTGGGGGAGTTCCCGGTTCTTTCTCCTCTGCACTCAGCGGCTGACCCGCGCCACCTTCTCCCCGCACCCTTGTGGTCTTCCGGTTAGCTCACCACGCCCTCTGGGTATTCCTCTGCTAGCTCTTTGGCAGTCGCCCGGTGTCGGAGAGGGCTCTAGTCCCGGTCTTTCCTCTCAGCTTCCGAGGTACAATCAGCTGTGTCCTCTTGGTGTCCGTTTGAATGTCTGCAGAAAGGCTGAGTTACCCTCCTCCGTAAGCAAACAACACACGATGCGCCCCTCCAGTGGCCCCCTATCTTGAGAAGCAGGACTGTCCTTTGTTGTACTCAGGCGAGGGTCCTTGGAATCACCCTTGAGTCTTTGGCCCTGATCTCCAAAACAGGCCTCCGTTGAACCCAGCCACTCTTATTTCGAATCAGCGCCACTTCCTCCTGAACTGTCCACACCAGAGGTGTCTGAGTGACCTCCCTTCTTGCGCTCCTGGCTTTGTGAAGGTGACTTATCTGTAAACCTCATCAGCGGGCTTCCCATAAAGTTCGGCCGGCAAGGGGCACCCCCAGGAAATCAGAAGGCAGTTTCTGGCTCTTTCTACAGAGGAAGAGGAGGCAGGATTATGTCTTCCCAGGTCAAGGCAAAGGGCATAGGCGCTCGTCCGGCTTCTTGGTGTCCTGCCGAGGGTGTTGTAGCTGCTTCTGAACCGCCCCATTCTTCCTTTGACGTTTGATACTTTTAAGAGTCTTTCGGCGGCAAGGAATGACTAAGAGCGGTTTCTCTTTGATGACTGGACTCTCATGCACTTTGCAGAAGCCCGTTCTCCACCTGGCTGACAAGCCATCTCTCAAAACATACCCTGACCGTCCTTGCCCCCTGCTCAAAACTTGCCAGTGTCCTGCTGGCACATCTAGAATAAAACCCAAACCCCACGCTGAGTTCCCCCAAATCCTCCGACCAGGGCTGGGCCAGGTCAAAGCCAGGGGCCCACATGGATAGCAGGGGCCCAAACATTTGGGCCATCTTCTGCTGCTTTTCCCAGGCCATTAGCAGGTAGCTGGGTTGGAGGTGAAGCAGCCAGGACATGAACCTGTGCCCGTACGGGATGACGGTGTAGCAGGCTGCTTTACTCATTATGCCTACAATGCCCAGTCTACCCCACATCCCTGCAGTGGTTTGGGGGCGTTTGATGAGTGAACCAGTAGTTGGGAGCTCTCTCTTTTCTCTCTCACTCTCAAATTAATAAAAATGAATTAAAATATCAGTCTCTACTACTCTGTCCCTTACCCTGTTGTCCTTTTCCTAATGGTATAAATGGAATATTAATTTGCTTATTTGTCTTAGATGTTCACTGTACTGTTGGAACCCCTCGTGGGCACTTGGTCTTTATTGAATGAATGGTACACTTCTACATACTCTTGTCTGGTCTTGGCCCTGACAACTTTGTGGCCCTTTCCAATAGCCTGTAATTGGAGGTTTATTTAAGGAGATTCTTGGTGAAGCAAGCACACTGGCAAGACTTCAGACTCTTCTTCACTCCTCGTTTTTGCTTGCCTGCTAGAACTAAGCCAAATCCAAACACCAGTCCTTGTGGAGCCCGTGGGGTTAAAGTAGAGAGATTGCCAGTGAGAAGGTGAGCAGGCTTTCTACATTTCAGGAAAAAGCAATAGCGTCCAACGCACAGCAAGTCGGTAGAGAATTGAGGTTGGCCTGGGCATAGCAAGCCAGCCATCCAATGTCAATGTCTAGAACTGTCAAGATTTAAATTAGCTCAAAGCTCATCGCAGAGGATTCTCAGTTATCTTGTTGATTTGACCCATCAGAGACTTCAGCTAGAAACTCTGGGTTGAATACACCTTAAGTAAAAGTAAATTATCTAAGATAAATTGAGACAGGACTCATGCTACCAATCTTTTGGAAATATAAATACTGGGGACATGCATTTGGCCTAGAGGTTAAGATATCCACATGCCACATGGGAGCACCTGAGTTCAGTTTCCGACTCCCTCCTGGTCCTGATTCCAGCTTCTTGCTGAAACTGACCCTGGCAGGTAGCAGGGATGGTCCAATGGGGAGGCCTGGATTGAGTTCCTGGCTCCTGGCTTTCCAGTTCATGGTTGCTGGCTGTTGTGGGGCTTTGGGGAGTGAACCAGCAAATGGAAGAACTTGTGGTCTCTCTCTCTGTCTCTATCTCTGTTTCTCTCTCTCTCTCTCCCTCCCTCTCTCTCTCTTTCTCTCGCTCCCTGCCTCTCAGATAATAAATATTTTTAAAGTAAATAAGAGAATTCTGAAGTGAAATTGGAATAGGAATCAGCATCACCTAAGATCTTGAAGTAGCAAAGAGCTGCTGCCCCTTCTGAGAATAGGACGTAAGGATTTCTGGAAAGAACACCTAGGGTTCTGACGTCACAATCACCGAGAGTTTGACTCTTTACCCACACTCAGGCATTATTAGTTGGAGAAATTAATGGATAGTGTTTTGTTTGGCATACAGGTATTTTAAAAAAACACATCCAGGGGCCTGCGCTGTGGCACAGCAGGTTAACACTCTGGCCTGAAGTGCCGGCATCCCATATGGACACCGGTTCTAGTCCCAGCTGCTCTACTTCCAATCCAGCTCTCTGCTGTGGCCTGGGAAAGCAGTAGATGACCCAAGTCCTTGGGCCCCTGCACCCACATGGGAGACCCAGAAGAAGCTCCTGGCTTGGGATTGGTGCAGTTCTGGCTGTTGCAGCCTACTGGGGAGTGAACCAGAGGATGGAAGACCTCTCTCTGTGTCTCTACCCCTCTCTGTGTAACTATGCAAATAAATAAATCTTAAAACACACACACACACACACACACACACATCCAAACACTTTAATAGAATAAGGTGATATATTTGGGAATTCTTTTTTTCTTCTCTTTCAAGATTTACTTATCCTAAAGACAGAGAGACACAGTGAGAAACAGAAACAGAAAAAGAGATATCTTCCATCTTCTGGTGTACTCCCCAAATGGCTTCAACCACCAGGGCTAAGCCAAGCAGAAGCCAGGAGCCAAGAACTCCATCCAGGTCTCCCACAGGGGTGGCAGGGGCCCAAGTCCTTGGGCCATCATCTGTTGCTTTCCCTGGTGCATCAGCAGGAAGCAGGCTGGGAAGCAGAGCAGCCAGGACTAGAACTGGCACTGTGACATGGGATGCTGGCCTCGCAAGTGGCAGGGGCAGAGATGGTGGTGACCCACTGCGCCACAACACCAACCACTTGAATATACTTCTCTCAGAAAGGTGGTAGATTATGGCAATTTTAGTATGCCTGCCCGTGTTTCTTTCCAACCCCCCTTTTCAGTTCAAAAGGGCACAGTGGGTTAAGCTGCCACCTTCAATGCCCACGTCCCATGTGAGCGCCAGCTGGAGTCGCAGTTGCTCTGCTTCGGATCCAGCTTCCTGTTAACCTGGGAAGGCAGCAGACTATGCCAAAGTATGTGGTTCCCTGCCACCCGTGTGGGAGACTCAGATGGAGCTCCAGGCTCCTGGCTTCAGCCCTGCCCAGCCCCGGCTGTTGCAGTCATTTGGGGAGTGAACCAGCAGATGGAAGACCTCTCTACCCCCACTCTGTAACTCTTTAAAATAAACAAATAAATCCTTTTTTTTAAAAAAAAAAAAAAGGCTATCTCTTCTCTACTCAATTGCATTGTTTCTCTACAAAACTTAGTCAACTATATTAATGCAAGTCTATTTTGGCCTTTGTATTCTCTTCCATTGATCTTTCACCAATACCACACTATCTTGTTTACTATACTTTACATTAAGTCTGGACACTCAGCAGTCAGTTTTATAACGTCATTCTTCTTCAACTTGTTGGCTTATCCGGGCTTTTGCCTCCCCATGTAAATGTTAGAATCCGTTTGCCAAGGTCCACACAACAATTTGCTGGATTTTGATAGGGAATGTGTTGAATCTATAGATCAAACTGATGTTGAGTCTTCGTGTCAATGGATTTTCTCTTCATTTACCCAGATCTTCTTTGGTGAAGATCTAGCATATCCAGGCATATGGAAAGAAGTAGTTTCCATTGTGTAGAACTTTAGGCTTATGTCTAAGTAGCCTCCCATCCCTATTTTAGTGCTGATATAATTGGCATTGTTTTCCATTGCTTTTAATTTCAACTCAGAGTGTTCACGGTGGCACACAGGAAAGAGGCTGACTTTGGCTTAGCAACCTGCATCCTGAAGCCTTGCCACAATCACTCAGCAGTTCCAGGATTTTTGTTGTTGGTCGTAGCTGAGGTTTTCCACCTAGATAACCATGTGACTGAGAACAAGAGCAGCTTTATTTCTTCTGTCCTAATTCGCATATATTTTATTTCCTTTATTTCTCTTACTGCATTAGCTAGAACTTAAACTGTGGAGAAAAGAAATGGTGAGGTTGCTGTGGCGCAGTGGGGTAAGCCGTCATCTGCACATGGGTGATGGTTCAAGTCCTGGCTGTTCCACGTCTGATCCAGCTCCCTGATAATGTGCTTGGGAAAGCAGCAGAGGATGATCCAAGTGCTTGAGCTCCTGCACCCACATGGGAGACCCGGATGAAACTCTTGATTCCTGGCTTTGGCCTGGCCCAGCTCTGGCCATTGAGAACATTTGGGAAGTGAACCAACAGATAAAGATCTCTCTCTCTCTCTCCCTCTCTCTCTGTCTCTGCCTCTCCTCTCTCTTTCTGACTTTCAAATAAATAAATCTTTTTAAAAAATGTTTTTTTTTATTTATTTGAGAGGCAGAGTTATAGACAGTGAGAGGGAGAGACAGAGAGGTCTTCCATCCGCTGGTTCAATCCCCAAAAGGCTGCAATGCCAAAGCTGAGCCGATTTGAAGCCAGGAGCTTCCTCCAAGTCTCCCATGTGGGCGCAGGGGCCCAAGGACTTGGGATGTCTTTTACTACTTTCCCAGGCCACAGCAGAGAGCTGAATCTGAAAAGGAGTAGCCGGAACTCGAACCGGCGCCCATATGGGATGCCGGTGCCACAGGCAGAGGATTAACCTACTGTGCCACAGCACAAGCCCCTAAATAAATAAATAAATAAAAATAAATGGTAAGAGGGAGCATCCTTGTGTTATTTCGTATCAGCAGGAAGACATATTGTTTTGCTCCTTGAATGTTACCTAAAGTTCTTTGCAGGTACTTGTTACTAAATTGAGAAAGTTCTCTATTATTAGTTTGCCATATGGCTTTATTTTTTATTGCCGTAAAACAAACATCACATAAAATTTACCAGTTAAAGGTCACAGTTCAGTGACTTTAACCATATTCACAGTGATCCGCCACCAGCACTATCATCCATTTCTGAATTTTTTACCTGCCCTGCCATAACCTCTGGGTACTTTATTTAATGAAGTGGACTCTTCTGGTGCTGTGGTTTGGACATGATTTGTCCCAACCAAGACTCGGGGGAGGCTTGGTCCCCAGTGCAGCGGTGCTGGGAGACAGGGTGGAGCGGGAGGTGTTTGGGACATGAGTAGGATCGGTGCCTTCCTCACCGCCACGAGAGCATGCTCTTAAACGTGAGCCCACCCCTCGTGTGTAGCCGCTTTCACAGGTGCCCACTTGCCCTTCTGCTTTCTGCCGTGAGTTGAAACAGCTTGAGACCCTCCCCAGATGGGGTCGCTCCCTCCTGGATTTCCCACCTCCAGAACTGTGAGCCGAAATAAGCCTTTCCTTCATTAATTAGCCAGTCGCAGGCATTGTGTTATGGCCACAGACTAAGGCACCTGGGTAATTCACGCAAGTGAAAGGATGCCGTCTTTGTCCCTGTGAATTTGCACACGCGACCTGGCGTAACTCCGAGGAGGACTTATTTTCCTTAGTTTCAAGGTTTATCTGTGTTGTTCCGTGTATCAGAATTTCATTCCTTTTTAAGGCAATACCCCTTTGTAGGTATGTGTCACGTTTTGCTTATCCTTTTACCTATACTGATGAACGTTTGCGTGGTTTCCTCCTTTTCACTACTGCGAATGGGGCTGTGAACAATGGTGTGCAAGTCTCTGAGTCCCTGTCCTCCATTCTTTCCAGCGTATACCTAAAGTAGAACTTTTACACCATATGCTGATTCTGTATTTAATTGTTCGAGATCCCTCACAGTTTTCAATATTGGTTGTATCATTTTGCATTCCCAACAGCAACATACAATAGTTCCAATGCTCCACGTTTTCACCAACATTTGTTATTTTGTTGTTTTTTTTTTTTTATTTTATGTAACACTTGTGATTTTAAGTTGCATTTCCCTAGTATAGAGAATATTTTCATGTGTGGACTGACTGTTTATCTTCTCCGGAGAAATGTCTACAAAAGTCTCACGCCCACTTAACAATGTTTTAACATTTATTTTCTTTTTATTTTACAGGCAGGCACAGACAGACAGCTATCTCCCATCCTCGAATTCACTCCCCAACTGTCTGCAACAGCCAGGGCTGGGCTAGGCCAAAACCAGGCGCCTGCAACTCAATCCCTGTCTCCCACTTGGGTGGCAGGAACCCAAATACTTGAGCTATCACCTGCTGCCTCCCAGGGAGCACATTAGCAGGAAACTGGAAACAGAAGCAGAGCTGGGATTCGAACCAGGCACCCTGATATGGGATGTGGTTGTCACAAGCAGCAGTTTAACTGCTGAGCCAAATGCGTGACCCCCACCCCCGCCGCCCTATATTAACTTTTTTGACTTGAGTAGATTTTTGTTGGTGATGCTGAGTTCTGTGAATCTTTATAGGCTCTGAACACTGATCCCTTGTCAGATACATAGTTTGCAAACATTTCCTCCCATTCTATTAACTATTGTTAATGATGAGTTTTCTTTGATGCACACTTTTTAATTTTAACTCCTATTTATCTATTTCTCTTTAGTTGCTTGTGCACTTGGTATCAGATCCCAGGAACCACTGCCTAGTCCATTCTCATAGAGACTTCGTCTTGTGTTTTCCTCTAGAGGTTTTACAGTTTTGAGCCTGGATCTTAGGCCCTCCACCGCTCTTTAGTTAACAGTTGTGTCTGGCAAACGGTGGTGGAGGTCCAACTTTCTCCTTTTTTTATGCAGATACTCAGTTTCCCTAGCACTGTGTGTTGAAAAGCAGCACCCTTGTTGAAACCATTTGCTCACGTAGGCCAGAGTTAATTTCTCAGCTTCCAATTCTGTCTGTTGGTCTGTCTGTATTTCAGTACCACACATTTGGCTACTGTCACTTTGCAATGCATCTTGAAATCAGGAAATCCTCTAAGTTCGTACTTCTTTTCCAAGATGGTTTGAGTCCCAGCTGCTCCACTTCCGATCCAGCTCTCTGCTATGGCCTGGGAAAGCAGTGGAAGATGGCCCAAGTCCTTGGGCCCCTGCACCCACGTGGGAGACCCAGAGAAAGCTTCTGGCTTCTGGGTTTGGATCAGCGCAGCTCCAGCCATTGCAGCAAATTGGGGAGTGAACCAGCGATGGAAGATCTCTCTCTGTCTCTGTCTCTCTGCCTCTCCTTCTCTCTGTGTGTAACTCCGACTTTCAAATAAATAAATAAATCTTTAAAAAAGAGAGAGAGATTCCACATGTATATGAAGATGGATTTTTCTATTTCTGCAACATGCCTTTGGGATTTTGATAGGGATTGTATTCAATCTGTAGATTGATTTTGGTAATATTGTCATCTTAACAGTATTAACTGCTAACTCTTTTTAAAAGATTTATTTATTTATTTGAAAGGCAGAATTACAGAGAGGCAGAAGCAGAGAGAGAGAGAGAAAGGTCTTCTGTCTGCTGGTTCACTCCCCCAGATGGCTGCAATGGCCAGAGCTGCGCTGATCCAAAGCCAGGAGCCAGGTCTTCCAAGGTCTCCCACATGGGTACAGGAGCCCAAGGACTTGAGCCATCTTCCACTACTTTCCCAGACCATAGCAGGGAGCTGGATGGGAAGTAGAGCAGCCAGGTCTCGAACTGGTGCCCATATGGGATGCCGGCACTGCAGGCAGTGGCTTTACTTGCTACGCCACAGCACCGGCCCCTGTAATATACATTTATAACTAATCTAATTCGACTCTTGAATAACATTTCTCGTACTACACTTCATGAGTAATGCAAGTGCCTTATCCAAGAATATTTTCAATGCCTTTTCCTAACCTTTATTTTTGGAATCTATAAGCTATAATAACCCAAACGCAATGTTGCTACTACTATTTTAAACAATTTTTTAATCCATTAAATAAATTAATAATGGAAAAAATAAGAGCTTTTCTTTGACCTTCATTTATTGCTTTTCTAACTCTTCCTTTCTTTGTGTCTATCTGAGTTCCCAGTGGATTTCAGGAAAGATGGTTTCCATGAGATCACAGTGCAATGCTTCCCACTCACGGGTATGGCACAACACAGGAAAACAAAGACAAAACACAGAACCATAGTGTTAGGAAGGAAGTGGAGGAAACGGAGCCCTCACACACCGCTGGTGCTAACATGGAAGGCACAGACACTGTGGAAAACACCGGTGGTTCCCCAAAACTTACATGCAGAACTACCGCATGGCCCAACAATGTCCTTCCTGCGTAAAAACTCAGAATGTCCAAACGAAAGCTTGTACGTGAATGTCCACAGCAGCACTGCTCACCAGTCAAAAGGAAGGGACAACCTACCCATCCACTCACACTGGACACACACACCAACTGTGCCCACAGCCCAGGGAGACGGCGCTCAGCCCTGAAAAGGAAAGGGGTCTTAACACACGTCAGTCTGTGGGGGAATCGCAGAGGAACATCGTGCCAGACGACAGAAACCAGGCTCAGAGGGTCTCACGTCATATGACTCCTTCAAGATGAAATAACCACAACACGCAAACCCACAGCCGCAGATCAGAGATGGGTGTACGCCCGAGGGGGGGGGGCGGGGTGAGATGGAGATCTATGGACTAGAAAGAGGTGGTGTCGGTGCAGCAGGGTGGGGGGGGGCGGGGTGAGGCAGGGCTCTGGGCTGGGGACTCTGCTCATGGCCTGGTGGGCTTGCCGTTGGGAAAAACTAATTATTGGGATTTTTTTTGGTTTGGTCAAATGCGCTGGAAAAGGCTCTGAAGATCCCTTGTCTGGAAGGTGAAGCCACCGTAGCTGACAGCACAGCAGCCAGAGCACAGCTTGAGTTTCTGGTCATTAAAATATACGTTGCCGTAAAATTGTGTTAAAAGGCAAAAAAATGAAAACGACTTTTATTGACTTTATATTCCCCAAATATTGCCAGCCACACTTTCGGTTTTAAGATGTTCATTGTATCAAACCTCGACATTAACAGAATACATTAACAGACCAACTGAATGAGGTCAGCCACCAAGCACAAAAAAATGAAGCAACCTTCCCGAAGGAGGAAAACTATTTTCCATACAGAAAGAGTAAAGAACATAAAAGAACATTTCCAGGGGCCAGTGTTGTGGAGCAGCAGGTGAAGCCGCTGCTGGCGACACCCACATCCCACATGAGCACAGGTTCAAGTCCCTGCTGCTCCACTTCCAGTCCAGCTCCCTGCGAATGCACCTGGGAAAGCAGCGAAGGATGGCCCCAGTGTTTGGGCCTCTCTCACTCATGGGGGAGACCAGAGTGGAGTTCCAGGCTCCAGGCTTTGACCTGGCCCAGCCCCAGGTGTTGTGGCTGGGGAGCGTATCAGTGTATGGAAGATCTCTCTCTCTTTCTCTGCCACTCTGCTTTTCAAGTAAATGAAATCTTAAAGAAAGAAAAAGAAGAAGAACCTTTATAGTAGGCAAAATCAAATTTATGGATTTAGAAACCATGATGGAGTCAACAGAGAAAAAGTTTACTTCAAATTCTAGCTCCGTTCTCGAACCACTGTTAGGATAGGGTAGCTTCTCAGAATGACCAAGGAACAACACTAACATCTGGGGCATGAAGACCATCGGCCAAACGACAAGGTCGCCTTCCAGGCTTAACTGATGCCTATCATCTGTAATCGGTTAGTAGACAGCTGATGACAGTGTTTTAGCCACGGTCCCCGAAAACTCTTATTAGAATTCCGGCCAAAAAGACAGCAAGAGCAGCAGCTAAAGCCCCTCCGCGGTAGAAAATCAGCTGCCTCGTTGACAAGATGTGCCCGACGGTGGGCACCACGTACTGCGTGCCGCCTTCTTCTAGAACCACCAGCTGGGCCGTCTGGCTCTCCGGTCCGATGACATCAGGCAAGATCACTGCACCGGGCACTTCTCTCTCCAGCATTGGTAGAACTGTTTGCAGAGAACAGTGGGGGAGTTACCTTGTGAACCGGGTGGAGCAAAGGACTGTCACGGAAGGTGTATGAGATGACATGGTAAGCACTGGCTGCCAGTCGTCAGTCAGGATACATGGAATTACATTCAACACATTTCAACGGAGAGCCCGGAGTCCACCTGGCCAATGACCGGGACAAGTTTGATTGAGCAAGAGAGCAGGATTTCATAAACTAAGCCACTCCGGCTACACTCAGTTTCAATCTTTTTAAGAGAAATAGGGCACACTATAGCAAAGCCCCCATTACCTGTAGGGGGAGGGATGGTCTCTTTACTCCCTTTTAGCCCAGCTCGAACCCGTGCCTAAAAACAAATGTCAGGTGAGTACCGGAAGTGGAAGTCAAGGTAGCAGTCTTCTGTTCCAGTGCAAAGCTCCCGCTCAAGGGTGACGTCATCTTGCACCACCTTTCTTAGTCCTGAAAATGCCTCAGGCCAGCAGAACACAACACCAGACAACCAGGCTGAGCGCACAGCAATAGTACAAAAAGCCTGTTGCTAGCATCGCGAGTGTCGTGCATTGTTTGCACTTACACCTTTCAGTGTTCCTAAACACAGGTAAAAGCAGTAAATTCTAAAGATGAATGGTGTCAGTTTATGGTCCTGCCACACTCTACTCACCTCGTAAATCAAACTGAGCGCAAGAAAGACAAAATAAATCTCAGTTAGGCAAATCAAAAGGGTTGAAAACGGAAAGGCTGGGTACAGCTGATGGCGGACAGCAGTGGAACCAAACTCACCCCTGGTGTTCCGGGCAACAACCCCGCCTCAGGCCAGCACCTACCCATCTCCTCTCAAGCCCCAAACAAGAGAAGGGCTTCCCACTCAACACAGACGCATCCATCATGATCTTGACCCTCTAGCCCTACGCCGCGTCCCACAGATCACAGATGTGTAGCATACTACCTTTTAGTGAAAGAAAAGAAACCTACGCAAATCAGTAATCTGCATAAGCGGACCCAAACTGCTATTTCTCTAAAACTGTTACACTGAAACAGGAAAGATACTTGGCAAGCGAATTCCTTTTTCTGTTGCTGCTGTTCACTTGTAAGGTGCATTCCCCGGTCTGTAGGTGTTAACTCAGCTCCACAGCAGGAGGAAGACGCGCTGCAACGCACTGCAAGGCGGTCTTCCCTCTGCCCCACCTGGCCTGTGAGATACATTTCATGGCCCTAAGAGGTTCCTGATCACGTGCTGGGATCAAGCAGGGCCACGTTTCCAAAAAGACACCACCTGTTACCTGCTCTGCAGCTCTTGTCCAGTTTGTCCTCCAAACATACACCAGGTAGAAAAGGGCTTGAAAGAAGACACAGAGGATCAAGCCCGACCAGAGGCCTGTGGGTGTGAAATGAGTACACAGGTCAGATCTTCTCCAGATCCACAGAGTGAAGTCCCAGTTAACCTCCGCCAAATTTTACATGACAGCGATTAGGTTAAGCGCTACCAGGGAGGCGTTTGTCAATAACGGAAAAAAGACTGGAACAAAATGCATTGAGATGCCCCCACATGACATCATAGGCAATTTCAATCCTCTTAATATGTTTACATATGTACAGGTAGATAATTTGTTCAAATCTATTTATTTATTTATTTATTTTTATTTAAAAGACAGAGACAGAGACACACAGAGAGATCTTCAATCTGTTAGTTCACTCCCCCAAATACCCAGACAGGTCTCCCATGTGGGTGGCAGGGACCCAAATACTTGGACCATCACTACTGCTCCCAGGGTGCACATGAGCCGACATCTGGAGTCAGAGTGGAACTGGGACTTGAACCAGGTGCTCTGATAGAGGACGCGGGTATCCCAGTGTCTTAACCACTGCACCCAAGGCTCACTCCACAAAGGCAGATGTCCATTATGCTAAGTGAGACACGCTAGGCACAGAAACACAAATCCTGCACGATCCGTTTCACTTATGTGTGGGAGCTAAAAATAGCTGAACTTACAGAAGGGAAGCAGAGTGGTGGCTGCCCCGGGCCGGAGCAGGGAGGCTGGAGAGATGCTGACCCAAGGTGCTCCCAGTTAGGAGCACTACGTTCAGGACCCAGATGGTGATTCACGGGTGACTACTGTTCGTGACAATGCGTTGTATTCATGAAAACTGCTAACATTTTACATGTTCTCACCATTAAAAAAGAAGGTACCCAGGAGCAGGCTTTGTGACTGACACCCACATCCGATGTCGAAGCGCCAGTTCGAGTCCTGGCTACTCTGCTTCTGAGCCAGCTCCCTGTCAACGCACCCGGGAAGATGATGGTCCACATGCATGGGCGCCTACGCCCGCATCAGAGACCGGGATGGAGTTCTTGGCTCCTGGCTTCAGCCTGGCGTAGCCCTGACTGTTGTGGCCATTTGGGGAGTTAAGAAGCAGATGGAAGATCTCTCTCTCTCTCTCCCTCCCTGCCTATTTCTCTCTCCTCTCTCCTCTCTCCTCTCTCCTCTCTCCCTCTCCCTCTCCCTCCCTCCCTCTCCCTCTCCCTCCCTCCCTCTCTCTCTCTCTCTCTCATCTGCCTTTCAAATAACTAAATAAGCATTTTAAAAGAATGTATAAGGCAACGGATATGTTAATTAGCTTAAATAACCCATTCTACAATGTATACATGTATCAAAACATCATGTTGTACACCGCAAATATATACAACTTCTATTTGTCAATGTAGCTAACACATCTGAGCACATACCATAGAAAATAGCAATAAGTACTTTAGTAGATAAAGAAGGAAACCACTTATTGACAAAGGAGCTTAAGATCTAATGGGGGGGGGGGTCTTTTATTTATTTATTTTTTTCTAACACTTAAGCTGAATTAAATGTAAAGCCAAGGGTGAAGACGGTTGCTTTGGTTAAGTGGTGCTTCCGAGGGTCTTGTGGTAGAGAAGGACCGCGGTAAGTCCCTGGCAGTTCTCCTCCCAGGTACCTGTAGACAATGATGGTGCCAGGCTGGGATGAATCAGGTACTGCCTGGTCCAGTCCGTGCCGATCATTAAGCCAGCATGGGACATTACCAAGACGACGAGACACTAAGCACCAGCAGTGTGTGGACACCAGCCAGCTCTTCCGACGGCTTCCAGACTGACATTGCACCAAGAAAGGGGGAGAGAACTGACAGCAGCTCTTTCGCACAAACGCAGCTGGCCTCCAGGTCTCGGGGAGTCCAGCAGGTGGACTCAGAGTCAGTGCCCAAGTCTCCGGCCAGTCCGCATCTATTCTCTACGGACAGATCTACTGGAAGCGTCTTGGGATGAAGCCTAAGGGAGAAGGATCTCCCTGAGGAAGCCACGAGAGGTCTGAAAACAAGTTGCATTAAGCCGAGGGACCTCCGCCTCTTCCGCCTGTAGGGGGAACAGGTGCGGAGCGCTAACATCTCAAGAAAGGACGTGAGTGATGCGGGGCGGAGACAGCGTACAGGTGACAAGTCCATCGCCATGCTGCTGTGTGCCCAGCTCTTCCCTTCTCACCCGTGGGCTAAAGCCCTCACACATGCAAAGGCTGTTACTGAGCCACACATCGTCAGGCTTGGCAGCGGCACTGGGCAGAGCTTGCAAGCATGGGTGACCGAACCAGAAAGGCGGTCAGAGGGCGGAGATGTCGGCCAGAGTGTACGAATGTAGGTGCGGCCGAAACCGCAGAGTGGAGGGCAGGCACGAGGTCAGGCCAAAGATGGAGGCACCGTCAGCACCAAAGAGCGAGGCCCTGAGACTCACGGGAGAGCGCGGAGGCCAAGAGGAACAGCACCGTCGCCAGCATTCCAAGAGCAAAAGCAGACAGAGCGCCAGAGAAGTAGAGAAAAACCAAGATCCGAGGGCGAGCTGAGAAAAAAAAGGAACCTCGGGGCCGGTGCTGTGGTGTAGCGGGTAAAGCCACCACCTGCAGTGCAGCATCCCATAAGGGTGCCAGTTCAAGTCCTGGCTGCTCCACTTCCCAGCCAGCTCTCTGCTGTGGCCTGGGAAAGCAGTGGACAATGGCCCAAGTCCTTGGGCCCCTGCACCCGCGTGGGAGACCCAGAAGAAGCTCCTGGCTCCTGGCGTCGGATCGGCCCAGCTCCGGCCATTATAGCCAACTGGGGAGTGACCAGCAGATGGAAGATCTCCCTTTCTCTCTCTCTCTCTCTCTGCCTCTCCTTCTCTCTCTAACTCTTTCAAATAAATACAACACAGGAACCTCGCCCAGATGCTAAGGCCCAACGGATACAGCACTCAGTCAATGCCAGGTAAAGGGTTGGGGGAGGATGAGCCCCAAGGATAGAGGACAACACCAGGGCGGCTCTGGAGTCAGCTACCCGGGTCAGCTCCTGCTTCCCCGCTAACACGTGTGCTACTCTGACACACTACTAAATCCCTCAGGTTTTAGATCTTATGATAAAATGCAGCTAATGGAAATCAGACCTTATATAGTTGTCATTAAGTTAAACGGCATAATATGCATAAAGAGCTTAGCACAGTATTGACAAAAGCTGTCCACGAATACTGTCTTATCTGTGCATTTGAGCAGTTACAGCATTTGCAGGAAAAATACAAATTTTGGCACATTTTGGCTTGTGGTCAAGGTGCCCGTTAAGATGAACACAGCACACACTGGAGTGCATCGTGGGTTCAGTTCCCACTTTTGGCTCCTGACTCCAGCTGCCTGCTAATACAGACAATGGGAACAGCAGTGGACGCTCCAGGGGTTGGATTTCCACCACCCACATGGGAGACCTGGGCTCCCAGTTTCAGTCTGGCCCGGTCCTGGTTGTTGCAGGCATGTGGGGAGTGGACCAGGGGATGGAAGCTCTCACTTGGGACTGGAAGACTAAATGCTACTAAGGTAGCACTACTCTGCAAAATAACTACAGGTTCGCATGCAGGCCTGATTAAGAACGCCAATGCCTTTTCAGACAGAGATGGAAAAGCTGGTCCTAGTTCACGTGGGATGGCAAGGGGCCCCCAACAGCCGAAACAACAACAATGGAAAAGCATAACAAAGTTGCAGGATTCACATCTCCTGACTTCAAAACTTATTACAAGGGGGCTGGTGCCGTGGCTCACTAGGTTAATCCTCTGCCTGCAGCGCCAGCATCCCATATGGGTGCTGGGTTCTAGTCCCGGTTGCTCCTCTTCCAGGCCAGCTCTCTGCTGTGGCCCGGGAGTGCAGTGGAGGATGGCCCAAGTGCTTGGGCCCTGCACCCGCATGGGAGACCAGGAGGAAGCACCTGGCTCCTGGCTTCGGATCAACGCAGCACGCCGGTCATAGCAGCCATTGTGGGGGGGGGGGGGGGTGAACCAATGGAAAAGGAAGACCTTTCTCTCTGTCTCTCTCTCTCACTAACTCTACCTGTCAAAAACAAACAAACAAACAAAACCTTATTACAAAACAACAGTAAGCAGGTGAGGGTGGGGATGGGTAAGGACAGACATACAGACCAATGGGCCAGTACTGCAAGTCCAGAAATGAACTCCCAAGTCCACGGTCAGCTGACTTTTGACAAGCAGTCCAAGAGCACGCCGTGAGGAAGACTCCGGTCTTCACCGAGACCTACTCACACGTCTTTCAGAGGGAATTCTGCCCAGCAGTGTGGGCTCCGAAGTTCCCCACCACTCACCAGGCCCCAACAGTAACTGACTCCTGCTTGAATCCATTATTTAGTCCTGGTCTTGGCCTGAGGGCAGGAGCTTGCTGACTTTGTTCAACACTGTATTTTAGACAGACATTGCTAACTCCTAACACGACAAGTGAGGGTTGAGGCGAGTCCCTGGGGAATCAAACGCATACCTATTATCCCAAGTTTGGCAGCAAACATCAGAGATACTCCAGTGGGAAATCCGAAAACATAGTAGCCGATGGCATTCAGGAGAGCACCAATCTTTTGTTTACCTGTGCCTCTCAGGACTCCTCCGGAAGTGCCCTAGGAAGAAGAAAAGCAAGGTTGCAGGCTCGGGGCTGTCGTCCTACCAAGTTCACGATACAACATTAATATCCCGTTACTTTGGATATGGTCAAATCTTAAAACAAGAGACCAAGGACAACATTTGGCATCTCAAGTTATGTTAACAACAGCTACAATACTAAAATGCAACAGCTTTTGTCAGAAAGCCATCACCGAATAGTATTGGGATCTGTTTATCCTGGCTGTTTAAGAATATTTTGTAAATGCAGATGTTGGGGCCGGTGCCGTGGCACAGTAGGTTAATCCTCCGCCTGCGGCACCAGCGTCCCATATGGACGCCAATTCCAGTCCCGGCTGCTCCTCTTCCTATCTAGCTCTCTGCTATGGCCTGGGAAAGCAGCAGAAGGTGGCCCAAGTCCTTGGGCCCCTGCACCCACATGGGAGACCCGGAAGAGGCTCCTGGCTTTGGATTTGGCGCAGCTCCAGCCATTGCTGCCATCTGGGGAGTGAACCAGTGGAAGGAAGACTCACTCTGTCACTTTCTCTGTAACTCTACCTCTCAAATAAATAAATAAAATCTTTTTTTTAAAAAAAATGCATGTGTTATAGGGAAGATGCAGGGGCAGCCTTCAGCTTGGCAGTTAAGATGTTGCCTCCTACACCAGAGAGCTGGGTCTGATTCCTGCCTCCAAATCCGGCTGGTGCAGATCCCAGGAGGCAATGGTGATGGCTCCAGTAACTGGGTTCCCACCAACCAGCTTCGGCCTCCGCTGTTGCAGGTACTGGGAGAGCCAGATGATAGGAGCTCTCTCTGTCTCTCCACCTCTCAAATAAGTTATACAAAAGATTTTTAAAAATTTATTTGAGAGGCAGAAAGATGTACAGAGACACAGAGATCGCCCATCTGCTGGTTCAATCTCCAAAATGTGGGGGCCAACGCTGTGGCGCAGCAGGTTAATGTCCTGGCCTGCAGTGCCAGCATCCCATATGAACGCCGGTTCTAGTCCCGGCTGCTCCTCTTCCCATCCAGCTCTCTGCTGTGGCCTGGGAAAGCAGTAGAGGATGGCCCAAGTCCTGGGGCCCCTGCACCCAGGTCTGGAGGGAGCTCCTGGCGTCGGATAGGCACAGCTCCAGCCGTTGCGGCCATCTGGGGAGTGAGCAAGCGGATGGAAGACCTCTCTCTCTGTCTCTACCTCTTTCTGTAACTCTGTCTTTCAAATAAATAAACTAAATCTTTTAAAAAAAAATATCTCCAAATGCTCACAATAGCCAGGGCTGGGCCAGACCAAAATCAAGAGCCAAGAACTCAATCTGGGTCACCCCTGTGTGTGGCAGGGACTCAAACCATTGATCCATCACCTGCTGCCTCCCCGGGGTGCCCATTAGCAGGAAGCTGGAATTAAAAGCAGAGGCGGGACTTGAACCCAAGCACTCTGATGTGGGGTCCCATGTGGTGTCTTTACCACTGTGCCAAGTGCCTGCCCCACAATTAGTTACTTTTTAGCTAGGTGTCATTGATGGTATCTCAGCAGAAGTCAGTGTAATATCACCGCTGCTGACAATGAACATGACCTTGTCTTCGCACTATTCTTAGGACAGCCAGTGCTCCAATCGTGGGCTCAGAGTGACGCGGACAGAGTAAAAGTTGCATAGGGAAAAACAGCAAATGACAAATGGGCCTAGAGGGCGCGTCATGAAGGGTACGCGCTCGGCTGGGAACAAGCTTCGAGGAATGATGCTGCACGACAACACAGGGGCCTTCAGATCCCTGTCCTCCTCCCCCTCCCCCCTCCCCCTCTCCCTCCAGGGGGAGCCTGGAGACGGACTTTGTTGGCCCAGGGAGGCAGGCACAGGCTAAGTCAGAGAGGTGGAGAACGCGGGGCTCCTCTTCCTTGGGAGGCCGGGTTCTGGTGCAACCCGTTCCCTCCCTCCAAGGCTCAGGCTAAGCAAGAGCTCCCTCTGTGCAGAAACGGAACTGGACATTCGATTTTTTAGCTACAAGGCCAGAAGGAGCCCCGCCAGATACTCACTGCCAGTGCATCAAATAGATGAAACGGAGCAAACACGGGCATCACTTGGCTCACCAGGGAAATAATATCTCTGTGGGAGGAAAAGCAAGCAGTCAGTGACCTAAAAAGACAAACCATGTGCAATCACCGGTTACCTGCTGACCTGACGCACCCGAGAGATGGAGCAGTCAAGTTAGTCAAAACAGTACGTTTCTTTTGGACAAAGTGCATAATAAAGCATAATTCCATGGGGAGGGGATTTGGAGCAATGGTTAAGTCACCACCTGGGACGCCCACGTGCAACGTCAGAGTGCCTGTCCCAGTTTCCCCGCTTTGGACCCAGCTTCCTGCTAATGTGCACCCTGAGAGGCAGCAGGTGATGGCTCAGGGACTTGGGTGTTCTGACACCCACATGGGAGATCCGGATTGCGTGCTGTGCTCCTGGCTTTGGCCTGGCTTAGCCCAGCAGTTGTGGGCGTCTGGGGAGCGAAACCAAGAGGACGGACGATCTCTCTGTGTGTCTGTCTCTCCAAGTCACTCTCTCTGCCTTTCACACAAAGATTAAAAAAAAAAGCTCAAACTATTTTTTTTTTTTTTAGAAAATGAGTGAGAACCAAATCAGGACACAAAGTCTCCATCCAGGTGACATCATGTTAGATGGCACAACAGGAAGCTCAAGTCGCAAAAGCAACTTTGAATTGGCAAGAACTGTCAGGATCGGCTATTTCAGAACACTGAGTCCAGTCAAAAACTCGCAGTAATAACTAAGTAGTAAGTAATATGAGGAGTGAGGGATGAAGAAAGAGGCTGATAAATATTAGGGATTCTGGCATTTCACCTCACAGCCACTTTGCCATCCCCCGCCGTGGTAGACAGCTGTAGGGGCCCTGCCTGCATTCCTGTCCTGACTTGCTGGGGCCAAGTTGGGCAATGAGCACCTTGGCCTCCAAAAATCAAGACTGTGTGATTTGATCTTCCTGGAGGGCCACAGGGAGCACTGGTACAGAGGCCTTGGGGGCTGTCCCTGTCAAAGACTTTAAAGAAACAAACAAAACCTAAATTTTTCATATGGGAGCAATGAAATTAACAAAATGTCAGGTTATTTCATCTTTATGAAAACTAATTTGCAAAGGTGACTGAATTATAAATAGCTCTGGAGGCAGTGCTGTGGCTCAGTGGGTTAATGCCCTGGCCTGAGGCACCGGCATCCCATATGGATGCCAGTTGGAGATCTGGCTGCTCCACTTCTGATCCAGCTCTCTGCTATGGCCTGGGAAAGAAGTGGAAGATGGCCCAAGTCCTTGGGCTCCTGCGCCTGCGTGGGAGACCTGGAAGAAGCTCCTGGCTTCTGGCATCAGACTGGCCCAACTCTGGCTGTTGTGGCCACTTGGGGAGTAAACCAGTGAATGGAAGACCTCTCTTTCCCCCATCACCCCATCCCCAACTCTGCCTTTCAAATAAATTAATGAAAGAAAGAAAGAAAGAAAAAAAGAAAGAAAGAAAGAAAAAGAAAATAAGGAGCAAGGGCAATGGAAGCTTCCTCCTTGCGGAGGCTGAGTTCCCCGGGATGCTGGTAGGACGTCGGGGTAGAGAGGAAGAACGTAACGAACGTGCCAGATTTTTTGATGAACGAGGAGCAAATGGAGATAGAAAAGAAAATGCTGTCACCCACGGAACTAGGAAACAAGAAATGCCAGGATGAGTACAAAGTTAGACAACAAGGATCAATGAGCCCACACGCAGGATCTTGCACTTGGGCTCACGAAGGCAGTCGCATCCCGGGACTCGGGGTGGTGTAGCCGACCAAAACCCTAACGCTGGCTCTCAGGCTCCACGGTGGTGCTAACCGTGGCTCACGGCACTGCCCTCGGGTCTGCGTGAATTCACGACGGTGGAGACGCAAGACCACGTCCCAGGAGACACGGCTGTAGGAATGCCAGGCGTTTGCCAGGGACAGCACAGGAGTCCCGTCTCCACCTGGGGCCAGAAATGGACGCTCTCCCAGGGCGGTCACAAGAGCAACTCTGCTATCAGTGGGCAGAAGCTATGCGTGGGAGAGGGGGATTTCAGCCCCAAAACAGGAAAGGGGTCCTGAGAGCCCAAGCTGTCCTGGGAGGTAGCAAGTTCCTTCCCACCAAGCTTATTCAAGCAGAAGCTACACAGCGGACAAGGACAAGGACGTTTCAGAGGAATCCCGACGGCAGGTGGGTGATCACGTTCAATAGCTTTTTAGATCCCTTTAATTTCTACGATTGCTAATTTGGAAAGTTTTTTTTTTTTTTTTTTGCCATTACTTTTTCAATTTTTTTTATTCTTCCTTCTCCTCCTCTGCTTTGACAATCCTACATGCATTTTAGGCCATTCACGGCTTTTCCTTCTCAGTCTTTCGTCTCTCTGCATTTCATTTGGGATGTCTGCCGCGTCTGTATCTTTAAGCTGACTATTCTTTCATTCTTTAGTGTCTAATCCACTACTAATGTCCTCCAAGGTGATTTCATCCCACAAGTTCTTTCCTCTCTCGAAGCTCAACTCAGTGGCTTTGTTTTGCTTTTGTATCTTTGTTTCACTTTGACATGTTTCTGTTTTCCTCTGACTTCTTGTAAATGTGCAAAATAGCTATATAGTTTTATATATATATAGTTACATAAAGATATATTTATGTACTAATTCCATTACTTGTTTCATTTCTGGGTCAGTTTCAGTTGACTTGTTTCTCGTCATCATCAATAGAGGATCATAATTCTTGATAAACGTGGTAGTTTCACTTTTTTTGTTTTTAAAGATTTAGTTATTTATGTGAAAGGCAGAGTGACAGAGAGAAAGGGGAAGGGAGGGAGATAGAGATCTTCCATCTGTTGCTTCACTCCCCAGATGGCCACAGCAACCAGGGCTGAACCAGACCAAAGCCCAGAGCCTAGACCTCCATCTGGGTCCCCCGTGCGGGAAGCAGGGACCCAGGGATGGAGCCGTCACCTACTGCCTCCCAGGGCTCACAATGGCAGGAGGGCAGGTCAGAAGCAGAGTAACCGGGACTTGAACCAGGCACTCAAGGATGACACGTGGGTGCCCCAGGCAGCAGTCTAAGCCCAGTCACGGTGTTCACTCCTGCTTGGTGACTCTTAGTCGTACGCTGCACTCTGTGCACTTCACCATGCTGAGTACTGCGTATTCTTTTGCTATTTGCAAGCACCCTTGAGCACTGACGTGGTTAAGTTCTATGATGTAGTTACGTTTTCTGGGATCAGTTAAAACCTTTCAAGGCTTGCTTTTAACCTTTGTGACACAGGAGCAGAACACAAGTTAGTTCTAGAGCTAATTTTGCTCCACTATGGAGGCCAGATGCTCTGCTAACTTTCCCAGCTGCCGAATGTGCTTCAAGGCTGTTCCGTTCTGGTTGGCAATGACAGAACTTTTTCCCCTATGATGGGTGTTCTGCCTGCTCCTTTGGATGCGTCCCCCGCCTTGGCCATGGCCCCCACCTTGGCCGTGGGCTGGAAACCCTCTCCCAGGAAGCTGGGGCCATCAGGGACTCTCTTCCTTTGTTTTGCCTCCCAGGAATTATTATTCTGCACTGCCTACAGCCCAACGTCTGAGAGCCGTTTGTTCTTCACTTAGGGTCTGAAGGTAAATCCAGTCCCCGGAACTTTATCAGATCAGATCACCTCCTTAGTGCTAAACTTTTGTAAGAATGTGTTAGGAGGCCGGCGCCGCGGCTCACTAGGCTAATCCTCCGCCTAGCGGCGCCGGCACACCGGGTTCTAGTCCCGGTCGGGGCGCCGGATTCTGTCCCGGTTGCCCCTCTTCCAGGCCAGCCCTCTGCTGTGGCCAGGGAGTGCAGTGGAGGATGGCCCAGGTGCTTGGGCCCTGCACCCCATGGGAGACCAGGAAAAGCACCTGGCTCCTGGCTCCTGCCATCGGATCAGCGCGGTGCGCCGGCCGCAGCGCGCCGGCCGCGGCGGCCATTGGAGGGTGAACCAACGGCAAAGGAAGACCTTTCTCTCTGTCTCTCTCTCTCACTGTCTACTCTGCCTGTCAGAAAAATATAAAAAAAAAAAAAAAAAGAATGTGTTAGGGTATCAGTCTATCTAAAAGCAATAGGGTCAGAACAACTAGAAGAGTACATTTAAAAATAATAAAACTAGGGGCTGGCGCTGTGGCATAGTGGGTGGAGCCACTGCCTGCAGTGCCAGCATCCTATATGGGCATTGGTTTGAGTCCTGGCTGCTCCACTTCCAATCCAGCTCTCTGCTATGGCCTGGGAAAGCAGTAGAAGATGGCCCAAGGACTGCACCCATGTGGGAGATCCTGGCTCCTGGCTTCGGATCAGCCTAGCTCTGGCCATTGTGGCCATTTGGAGAGTGAACCAGTGGATGGAAGACCTCTCTCTCTGCCTCTGCCTCTAACTCTTTCAAATAAATAAATAAATCTTCAAAATAATAATAAAAAAACTAAATTTCTTCCTAAAAGTAATTTGAGGTAACTGATACAAATTACTGAAGCTCTTCTATGAACTGGTTTTTTAAATATTCACATGACACCTTATTATGAATCTATGCAGCGTGGAAACGCATAACTACAGAAAATGCAGTAACAGTCAGCCTGCGCTGAAGGCAATGATGCTTGTGGCTACTGCCCAGGCTACAGCAGGCACGGAAGTAGCCAGCGTGCCCGGACGGTGAGGGGCCTTCCTGGGGAGAGGCCGTCTGTGTGCTACTCCTGGGGGTCTCTGAGCAGAAGCAGCACTGAGCACGGAGAAGCCCCTCTCAGGTTTGATGAGCGCGTGAGCTGGCTAGTGGAGCAGCAGGGTGATGTTCGTGGGCTCCTGTCGCTCAAGCTCATTCAGAGGTAGTGCCGGACCTCTCTCCTGGCTGCACCCGGGCTTCTTCCCCAGTGAAGTGACATGCTCCGTGGGGCTGCCATAGTCAGAGAGAGGCAGTTCTGGATGAGTACCTACTTGTCACTGGTGAAGACGTAGGCGACCACATCCTTCAGAGCTGCGAGCAGGACGCCCACCACAAGCGCGCAGATGCCTGGAAAACAGAGAGGCCACGAGGAAGGACAGTTCCCCAGGGGGACGCGTCCTGCGGCGGATCTCTCATGAGATTCTGCATCCACAGCTCAAGACGCGGAATCACGTACGTGAGGGCTTCTTATTGTCTATGAAATGCGCAAGCAAGATCAGATGGTCTCATCTGCTTTTTCTTCTTTTTTTTTAAAGAGCTATTTTTATTTATTTGAAAGACAGAGTTACAGAGAGATGCAGAGGCAGAAAGAGAGGTCTTCCATTTGCTGGTTCACTCCCCAGATGGCCACAATGGCCAGAGCTGGGCCGATCAGAAGCCAGGAGCCAGGAGCTTCTTCTGGGTCTCCCATGCGGGTGCAGGGGCCCAAGGACTTGGGCCATCTTCTACTGCTCTCCCAGGCCACAGCAGAGAGCTGGCTGGGAAGTGGAGCAGCCAGGACTTAAACTGGCATCCATATGGGATGCTGGCACTGCAGGCCAGGGCTTTAACCCTCTGTGCCACAGTGCCGGCCCCTCATCTCCTTTTTCTAAGAGAGACTCATGGGAAAGATGCTCAATGAGATATCGTTATTGTGGTTTGAGGTTTTGAATCCCCTCCAGGTTCATGCTGAGATTCATCTCCAGTGTGACAGCACTGGGAGGTGTGGCCTTTGGGAGACTCTGCCCTCACGAGTGGTATTAGGGCCCCCGTACAGGGACTGAGGGAGGGAGGTGGTCCCCTTCAGTTCCTTCTGCCACGAGGACACAGCATCAAGGCACCATCGTGAAAGCAGACAGCAGCCCTCACACACGGCCCACCCTGCTGCTGCCTGGGTTTGGGCCTTTCACGCTTCCTGAGCCATGAAACAGAAATTTGGGGGTCTTTGTAAGTTACCCCATCTGTGGTAGTCTGTCACGGCTAAGACAGCAAGATAATTAAAACTCTTTTCCAATTGCTCAGAATACAGAGTGCTGGAGATGCAGAGGAGGCAGGAGCCACCCAACTACAGTCATAAAGCAGGACTGCCGAAGAGAACCACTGCCTTTGAAATTAGCTCAGTAATGGGGCTGTGCTGTGGCGCAGCGGGTTAATGCCCTGGCCTGGAGCGCCGGCATCCCATATGGGCGCCGGTTCTAGTCCTGGCTGCTCCACTTCCCAGCCAGCTCTCTGCTGTGGCCTGGGAGGGCAGTAGAGGATGGCCCAAGTCCCTGGCCCCCTGCACCCACGTGGGAGACCCGGAAGAAGCTCCTGGCTCCTGGCTTCGGATCGGCGCAGCTCCGGCCATTGTGTCCAATTACGGAGTGAACCAGTGGGTGGAAGACCTCTCTCTCTGTCTCTACCTCTCTCTGTAACTCTTTCAAATAAATAACATAAATCTTTAAAAAAATTATCTCAGTACTGCCAAGCATAACGTTATGTAGTTGGTAGATAGCAACAAAAAACAATTAGCAGTAATTAGTATTATTATTACCAATTAGTAAATTGGCAAGAGCATAAAGAACAGAGATCTGGGTTGTGTATATGAGGGTACTTCAAAGTTTGTGGAAAATGGAATCAAGCATGAAGTTTATTTTGATATAAAGCCCTGCATTTTTTTCTTTTCTTTTTTTTTTTGGACAGGCAGAGTGGACAGTGAGAGAGAGAGACAGAGAGAAAGGTCTTCCCTTGCCGTTGGTTCACCCTCCAACGGCCGCCGCGGCCAGCGCACTGTGGCCGGCGCACCGCGCTGATCCGATGGCAGGATCCAGGTGCTTCTCCTGGTCTCCCATGGGGTGCAGGGCCCAAGCACTTGGGCCATCCTCCACCACACTCCTGGGCCACAGCAGAGAACTGGCCTGGAAGAGGGGCAACCGGGACAGAATCCGGCTCCCCGACTGGGGCTAGAACCCGGTGTGCCGGCGCCACAAGGCAAAGGATTAGCCTAGTGAGCCACGGTGCTGGCCTGTATTTTTTTTTTTTTTTTTTTTTTTTTTTTTTTTTTTGGTAATAGGCACTTTTATGAAGTTTTGGAAGGCCTTTCCTACACATCAATTTCAAATCTCGGGGGCTCGTAAGGAAATGCTGATACACGGATCCTCCACTTACCCGCTAAAGCCAGCCTGGCGGCCGGCATCACTCACCGGCACACAGGAGAGCGGCAGTACAGGAGCACCGGGCCTGCTCAGCACTCCCAGCTCCCAGGGCGTTGCCCACACGGACGCTGGCTGCCACACCGAAGCCGAGGGGCACCTGGGAATTAACGAGCACAAAACACAGTCACAAGCCATCAAAATCTCCAAATTCAGCGCTGGTGCACGAGCGTCCAATGACATGGAAACTGTAGACAGACTCAGAGATCTGCATTCTAGAACCTTCTATCACCACGTGACCGGAAAGGCACAAGTGGCTCAGCCTCACTGACACAGGAGTTCTCACTGTTAAGAAAAAGGTCTCGGCCACCCCTGACTGTTCCCCGTGGCAGATGGATCAGAGCAGACCCTGGACTTGAGGGCCAAACACCCTGTTATTGGCTACACACACTCAGGAACTAAGTCCTGACACGTACTAGCTACATCTCTATGAGATTTAACTTACTCTAAGTATGTAAGTAATTTGTGAGGATTAAAGGAACCATGTGCAGAAGCACTCACAGCACAGCCTGGCACGCAGCGGGCACTCGGAAAGGCTGATAAATCCAACACCCCAACAACCCTCAGTGGCAGTGGGATGGATGAAATAAACACCCGAGAGTCAAGCAAATCCACCTCTGCGAATGCAAAATCTTGATTTTAATCACTGATTACGGAAACCTAAAGCAATGAGCATCCTTGCTTCCTAAACAGATCGTCACACAACTTCCAGAATCGTCCTTCAGACCTCAACTGTTGTGGGGCACAAACCACTCTGACTGTGGCTCTCACGCTTGCTTTTGCTGATTTACACTTCGGCTTTAACTCCTCATCCCCACCAGAAGGAGCACCCTTCCTGCAGCCTTCGAATTTGCAACTGTTTCATCAAACTGGTTGTGTTGATAACAATTTATATATATTAAGTTGTAGGAATTTGGAAAGCAGCAGAGTTGAGGACATAAAAAGGCTTAAGACTTGTATGACCACGGTATATACGTATTTGACTTCTAGTTCAAGATCTACGACTGGCTCACGTAGTAAACTCTCTTCCCTCTCAAAATGCCACTAATAGGGGCCGGCGCTGTGGCGGAGCGGGTAATCTGCAGTGCTGGCATCCCATATGGAGACGGTTCTAGTCCCAGCTGCTCCACTTCCGTTCCAGCTATGGCCTGGGAAAGCAGTAGAAGACGGCCCAAGTCCGTGGGCCCCTGCACCCACATGGGAGACCTGGAAGAAGCTCCTGGCTCCTGGCTTTGGATCGGCGCAGCTCCAGTCGTTGCAGCCATCTGGGGAGTGAAGCAGCGGATGGAAGACCCCTCTCCATCCCCCTGTGTAACTCTGACTTTCAAGTAAATAAATAAATCTTTTTTACAAATGCCACTAATAGAAAATAAATGTCCATGCTTAGTGGAAAATAAATTGTCAACATTGAGAATTAAAGAGCAAACTGCTTTTGGAAAAGCTGCCACCACGAAGACGCCAGGGTGAAGCCACGGGAAGCCCACAGCACAGGGAAGGCAGGACAATGTGCGTGAGAAGTATTTGGGGAGACACGCCGGGCGGAGGGGGGCGACAGACAGAATAGCCGATCCAGGCCAATCACATCCTAAGGTTGCACGAGTGCTAGCCTCTGGGTCCCAGTTCCCTCCCCGCTACGTATGTGAAATAGCAGCACATTCCTCCAAAGGCGCTGCAGGGAGGAGTCCACGAGTCACCGTGTGTAACCTGTAGACACTGCTGCCTGGATCCCAGCAAGTGGGTGGCTGTTACCCAGCTGGTAGTATTTGGGAAGCGAAGGAGAAATCTCATAACTGCATGTTCCTCATCTTGTCACTTGGGAAGCCAAGCTGCAGGTGATAGATCAAGAAATAGAGGTGCGCGTTCATTATTTAAAGTCATATCCACCCAGAAAGCTAGAAATAAAGAACAAAACCCACGGGGTTGCCCGGGATACTGCAGAAGGCGAGCTGCCTCCTCCCCGCTCCCGGAGCCAACAGCCGCTAGGTCACGGTGAGCAGAAGGCACGAAGCTCTGTGACAACCCCCAGAACTAGAGGCAGGAGGAGTCAAAAAGTGGGACAGCTCTGGGGAACCAGGCTGAAAAAAAAAAAAAAAAAAAAAGAGGAAGCGACTTGATTTTTCATTTTTATAAACTTATTTATTTATTTATTTATTTATTTTATTTATTTATTTTTTTTGACAGGCAGAGTGGACAGTGAGAGAGAGAGACAGAGAGAAAGGTCTTCCTTTGCCGTTGGTTCACCCTCCAATGGCCGCCGCGGCCGGCGCGCTGCAGCCGGCGCACCACACTGATCCGATGGCAGGAACCAGGTACTTATCCTAGTCTCCCATGGGGTGCAGGGCCCAAGCACCTGGGCCATCCTCCACTGCACTCCCTGGCCACAGCAGAGAGCTGGCCTGGAAGAGGGGCAACCGGGACAGAATCCGGTGCCCCGACAGGGACTAGAACCCGGTGTGCGGCGCCACAAGGCGGAGGATTAGCCTAGTGAGCCGCGGCGCCGGCCATTTTTATAAACTTCTAAAGGTGGGGTGGAAGCTATTGTAATCCATAAGCTGTACTTTGGAAATTTATGTTCATTAAATAAAATAAAATTTAAAAAAAGGATTAAAAAAGCAGAATATATTTTATAAACAGCATCAGACTAGTTTGTTTAGGTGCTCCTTAATGTTTCAGTTTTAACAGTTTGTAGAAATAAGCAACCTTTAGAATTGTCTAATAAACATGCAATTAAAATATTTAAGTATAAATAAGTAATAATTGTGCAGTTCCTATAAAATAAAAATTATGCAAGGTGTAAAAAAAAACTTCTAAAGGTAAGTACTTCAAAAAGTTGGTGGAAAATGGAAAGAAAAGCTAACTATTTTGGTGCAAAAAAAATTTGAGCTCCATACACGGGTTTTTTATAATGCTTATTTTCCATGGACTTTTTGAAAACTCACCATGAACCGCTTTTAGAGCAAAACATGAACTGCATTGATAATCAGGCATTTTAAGAACACATATAGCCAGCGCCAAGGTTCACTAGGCTAATTCTCCAACGGTAGCGCTGGTACTCCGGGTTCTAGTCCTTGTTAGGGGGTGCCGGTTCTGTCCCGGTTGCCCCTCTTCCAGACCAGCTCTCTGCTGTGGCCCGGGAGTGCAGTGGAGGATGGCCCAGGTGCTTGGGCCCTGCACCCGCATGGGAGACCAGGGGAAGCACCTGGCTCCTGGCTTCAGATCAGCGCGGTGCGCCGGCCGCAGCAGCCATTTGAGGGGTGAACCAATGGAAGGAAGACCTTTCTCTCTGTCTCTCTCTCACTAACTCTGCCTGTCAAAAAAAAAAAAAAAAAAAGAGCATATCATTTATTCAAAAAAGAAAAGAAAATACCCATTTTCTTATATTAACAGCGAAGATGTTTTGAAGTGCTCCTTTCTGGTAAGATCTTCTGTGCTAAGGCTCAGCTTTCGACGAGGATGGCACTGATCTGTGGATCACTGTGGAGGCACCGCCTTCTTAACAAGGGCAGTAACCGGATCCAGCTAAAAAGACCACGAGAGTGTCTCAGGCATGGAAAGCCAAGACACTGTGGCAAAAAATGACCTACATGAAAGAGCTCTGTGAGTGAGATCCCAGCAGAAAGAACGGCCATCCAAGAAGGAGGTACCTTTCTCTGAAGGGAGGAGAGAACCTCCACTTTGACTATGACCGTGTCTAAACAAGATAAGAGTCGGAGAACTCAAGGGGCTTCCATAGCCTTGGAAACTCATGACTGGAGCATAGGGAGATTACTGATGCCATAGACAGGAGTGTCAATTTGTAAAGTCAACAACAGGAGTCACTGTGCACTTACTCCTCATGTAGGATCTCTGTCCTTAATGTGTTGTACATTGTGAATTAACGGTATAACTAGTACTCAAACAGTGCTCTATATACTTTGTGTTTCTGTGTGGGTGCAAACTGTTGAAATCTTTACTTAGCATATACTAAATTGATCTTCTGTATATAAAGATAATTGAAAATGAATCTTGATGTGAATGGGATGGGAGAGGGAATGAGAGATGGGAGGGTTGCGGGTGGGAGAGAGGTTATGGGGGGGGGGGGGGAAGCCACTGTAATCCAAAAGCTGTACTTTGGAAATTTATATTTATTAAATAAAAGTTAAAAGAAAAACAAGGTGAATAACAAAATCAAGTTCCCCAATCCACGAGCCCAAGAATGGACAAACGGATCCTAGAATCCACGGGGCTCAAGAAGACCCCGGGGACTCGAGACGGTCGTGGACAAGAAGAGACTGGAGAACTCACCCCCAGCTCAGCACTAACACCGGAAGACAGTGAGATACCATCAAAGTGCTGGGCGAGCAGGTGGGCCCTCCCAGCTAAGCTGCCGCCCTTCACAGAGGGCGGATTCAAGGGCATCAGTCAGCCCAGCCCGAGGCTTCTCCGCGAACAGGCCTCGGAATCTACGCCAGCGCGGACTGTAGCTCTTAAACCTGACCGTAATCATGGAGCTAAGCCACACAACCGAAAACAAGGTGAGAATAAAGTAAGGCAAGATTAAGGAAGTTCAAGCTATCTAGAGAGTATCTGGGGGGGAGACAGGGGTGACAGACTTCCAGGTTTTAAAGCAGGCACGCACCCACGTGGACATGTTGCAAGCAATCCTCGAACACATGCAGTAAGATACAAGATTTACTATCTCCTGTCAACGCCTCTGAACACCTCGTCCCCAAAGGCCTTCCAGTCTCCCCTATGTACATACCGAAGTTCCCACTATGTACGTAACGACCTGTATCTCTCACATATTCTGCGTCTCTGTGCGTCTTTGTTTTATTCTACCCTCCTTATGTTCATCATTTTCTGTGTGCAGTTAAGGTCTTTAGCCTATCAAGTATTAAATTTCAACGGCTATATACTCTCTTTCTGCAAGTTCTACTTGACTGTTTTCCAAACACTGTTCTTTTAGTTTCAATTCCTCCTTTTTTAAAAGATAAAAAAAAAAAATTACTGATTTATGTGGGAGAGAGAGAACTCTCGTCCACTGGCTCACTCCCCCAGTTACCTTCTTTTTTATTTATTTATTTATTTATTTATTTATTTATTTTTTTGACAGGCAGAGTGGACAGTGAGAGAGAGACAGAGAGAAAGGTCTTCCTTTGCCGTTGGTTCACCCTCCAATGGCCGCCGCGGCCGGCGCGCTGCGGCCGGCGCACCGCGCTGATCCGATGGCAGGAGCCAGGTACTTATCCTGGTCTCCCATGGGGTGCAGGGCCCAAGCACCTGGGCCATCCTCCACTGCACTCCCTGGCCACAGCAGAGAGCTGGCCTGGAAGAGGGGCAACCGGGACAGAATCCGGCGCCCCGATCGGGACTAGAACCCGGTGTGCCGGCGCCGCTAGGCGGAGGATTAGCCTAGTGAGCCGCGGCGCCGGCCCCCAGTTACCTTCAACAGCTGGGAACCGGGCCCACAAGGAACCCAAGCCAACTCCCACAGAGGTGGTAGGAGCCCAGCCAGGGTCTGCCCTAGCATTAGCTGCAGTCGATAGGCAGGGCCAGGGATCAATCCCAGGTTTCCTGATGGGGGAAGTGGCTATCTTACATGGAGTCTTAACCGCTGGGCTCCAGGCCCACCCCTCCATTCACTGTTTCATGTTTCATGATTCTATGCAGAATTTTCTATTTTCTTTCTCATTATTACATCATTGGTTCAATTTCTGAACTCCAATTGTCCCCATGTGTTGTGTCAACTTTTGCTTATGGTGGATTCCTTGTACTGTCCCAGTTGTATTAAAAGCTCATCACCATAAGGGGACGTCAAACCTCGAGGCACAGTGGTCTACAGTCCTGTAGCCTGGACTCCTCTCCATGCCCAGAAAGGCAGCAACTCACACCTGCCTCTCACTCGTCACTCCACAAGGCCCCTGGCAACCTTGAATCAGAGGGCTGTGGCAGACATTTGGGACAGCGACTGAGATATGGCTTGGGATGCCCCTCATCCCACACTGGAGTAAATGGGTGAGAAACTAAGGATCACATGGAAGTCCAGCTTCCTGCTCATGCACACCATGAGAGGCAGCAGGCTGGGTCCCCACCCCCCCAACATGAGAGACCTGGATGGAGTTCCCGGCTCCCAGCTTCAGCCTGGCCCAGTCCAGGCTGCTGCAGACATTTGTGGACAAGAACATTCTCTCTCATACACACACACACACACACACACACTCTCTCTCTCACTCTCCCTCTGCTTTTCAAAAAAACAAAACAAAACAAAACAAAAAAAAAAAAACACCAAACAACCCAAGGGCCACTCTCCAACCTTACACTGTGCAGGCCCCGGGCAGCGCTCAGCCCAGCCGCTGGCTCCCTCTGAAGCTGCTGTGCCCTGGGCCTCCTCCACGTGTTCTCCGCACATCCTCCCCTCCATGCTGGCTGCCTACTGCGTCCGTGACGGCGTCTCCTTCCGTTCCCGACCTCCCCACGCCGGGCTGGCTCCTAGACCTGCTGCTCTGTTTGCACTCCTAGATGACCATGTCAATTCCCATTAAAAAAATTTTTTTTTTCATTTTAAAAATGAAAAAAAAAAAAAATACATGGAAACAAAAAAATGTCCCATAATCCTCCTGCCCACAGACCTCTGCTGCTTTAGAAACAAAATAAAACAAAGGTGGTTCTCTGTACAGGGTTGGAATAGCCCAAAGGCACCCGAAGGTAAAAGGCGTCACCCCCACACTGGGGTTCAAGCCAAAACCCTTGGAGATAGCTGTGATAGATGCCGCACGCAAGCCCTGACTGCGGCCTGGCAGCTGGCCTCAGCACATCACCACGGCCTCGTCTTCCACCAGCAGCCTCCCGCCCACACCCCTCCCCTCTGTGTCAGCCTCCATGGGGTACAAGAGGCTGTGTCCCCTGCGGGAGTCCCCAGGCCTACCCCCCCCCCCCCCCCCCGCCTATGACAACCACACCTCCCCCAGTTCCTCGGTGGCCCAGGAGCCCTGGGCCCAGGTGCCCCAGTGGGCTGTCCAGGCCGGTTTTTCCATACAGAAAGGCCCTGCCTGACTCGCTATCTCTTTTTATGTCTCTCAAATATTTTTGGCTTTTTTTTTTTTTTAAGAAATTAACGACAAACAAGGGGGGGTTTTAAAATTCCCGGAAACAAAATAAAAGTAATTTGGCGGGGCTTCCCGGAAAAGGAAGCCACACTTCCAATTGTTTTGCACCAATTCAACCTATCTTTCAGTTCCAGGTTGTTTTTTTTTTATTCACAAACTCTTTGGAGTACTCTCGCATATGATTTGTGCAATGCACGTACCCAGTGTTTATTTGTTTATCTCTGTCTCCCCACCAGGCCACAGGCACGAGAGGTCAGGAGCTACCTCCTCCTCACCTCCATCATATCCCAGCATCAGTGCCCTCCCTGCTTGCCTGCATTTGCCAGGCCTTATGTTAAGTTTCAGATGCACGATCTCATTCCGCACCTGCAAAGTGGGCACGTGCCCACTCTGTACGCAAGGAAACAGAAGCTGAGAACAGTTAGGAAAAGAGCTGGGGGTAGCACGGCTGACGGGCAGCATGGCCAGGACACCTCGTCCCTCTCCAGTGTGTCTCTCTCCCTCCCTCTCCCCCTCTCTCCCTCCCTCTCCCCTTCTCTCCCTCCCTCTCCCCCTCTCTCCCTCCCTCTCCCCAGCCCTCCCCACCCCACTGTGCCAAGTCTCACCTGAGGTTCTTACCATGTAGGCCACAGAGGCCAGTTCGTAAACGATGGCTTGGGCCCCAAGCTCTGTGACGTTGATCAGCCCTGAAATGTCACCACACACAGAAGATGTTTCAAAGAGTGGGCCAAAGCAAGCCCTTTGCTTACGGCACTAGAACACGCTCTAAGAGAAGCCGAGCACTTCCCCTAGACGTAGCCGGGTGCTGAGATTCCCCACCTGTGCTGCGGAGACCCTCAGGGCGGCCCTTCCTGCAGACGCGACGCGGGCTCCATCTGGGGGCCCCTCACCCTGCCACTGAGGGACGAAACATCAGGTGTCCAAGGAGGAAGGGGGAGGCCCCTGCAGCTGCAGAATGTTCCGCGGGACAGGCAGGTTCACATTGTAGGAGGGGAGGAGGAGGTCACAGAACTCCCTCTGCACAGTCAATGGGACAACCGAGGCAGCAGTGCCACAGTCTTTCATTCTCTGTCTCTGTGTTCCCATAACAACACTCAGACGGCTCAGGAGGACAGCTGTGACCAAAACTGTTACAAGGCCAAGGCTGGAACAAAGCCACCGTAGCCTCTCTGTGCTTGTGAAAAGCCTTCAAACACATGGCATGAAACCCCAGCGTCTCCCAAATGAAGGGCAGGGTGGGGCGGGTAATCAGGGCAGGGTAGGGCAAGAAGTCGATAAGCAGGTTCAAGGCCACGGTTACGTGGGAGGAACAAGTCTCACAGCCAAAGACTGCAGCTAACAATAACAGGGAGGAGAGCATGTTAAGTGTTCTCATCATGATAAATGTTAGGCCAATTACTCTAATTGAGCATTATACAATGTGCACGTGTCTCAAAACATCACCTCGTGTCTCCTAAGTACGTATGTGTGATGGTGTGTCAATCAAAATGAGATATGTAAATAAAAAGGAGAAAAGGGCCAAAAGCAAAATGACGGGTGGTGTAGTAGAAGTAGAGCCGCACCGAGGTGAACCTGCTGATGGCTGGACGAGGGTCTAAACCTGTCCTGCGTGGAAGGGGGCAAGGCAGACAGGTAGACCCGGAATCTTCTGGCGAGCTCTGGAAACGTGGCCGCTGGGCTGCGGGCAGTTTCTGCGGCGCGCAGACGCACCTGCAAGGAAAGTGCCGATCTCAAAGCTCCACCACTCGATGCACACCATGAACAAGCTGGGAATGGCCAGACGGGTGTATGAGCCCCACTCCTGCAAGCAGTCCACGGTCCAACCTGGAGAACAGGAAGCAAAAGAGCCGTTCAATACCAGGAATTCGACTGCACACACCCGCCTCTTCCAAATGGGCCAGAGATGAGGGAGGGGTGACCTCGGCTTCCCAGCGAAAGGTAAAGAAAATCCCACAGGGGCAGAGTGTGGGATGGCAGGCACCAAGCTGGCAACACTTAGTAAAACCGAAGCCAGTCTATGCCCTGTCACTTACACAACCCACTCCTGGGAAACTCTCGTACGAGAGCTCAATAAAAGCCGCGTGGGATACTCCCTGTGGTAGAGTATGGCTGTCGGGTGTTGTGGACATCAAGGAGCCAAACTTAGGAAAGCAGAGGTGTGAAATAGGAGACAAGTGCCTTGTGACAAAGCCAAATCCTGGAATGGTTGTAGATGCAGCTGAGGCAACAAGGCTACACCCACCCACCCACCCACCACACACGCAACACTGAGGTCTTAAAGTGTGCTGTGCTCACAAACAACCAGAGTACAAATACATCAGTTGGGCTAAAACAAAACAAAAACCTTCAGGGGGCTGGCATTGTGGCAGGTCACCGTCCGCAGTGCTGGCAACCCATATGGACGCTGGTTCGAGTCCTGGCTGCTCCACTTCCCTGTTAATGCACCTGGGAAAGCAGCGGAAGATGATCCAAGTCCTTGGGCCCCTGCACCCACGTGGGAGACCCGGAAGAAGCTCCTGGTTCCTGGCTTAGGCCTGACCCAGCCCTGGCTGTTGCAGCCATCTGGGGGAGTAAACCAGCGGATGGAAGACCTCTCTCCCTCTCTCTCTCTCTCTATCTCTGCCTCTCTGTAACTCTGCCTTTCAAATAACTAACTAAATCTTTAAAAATAACTAAGTAAAAAACTTCCGTGCCTTGAAGGACATAACCAACAGTGTGGAAAGGCAGCCTGTGGAGGTCATGGACCTGCTGGGGGTGCCTGGAGCCGATCTCCAGGACCCACAAACACGTCCTGCAGCTCAAGAACACAACACCCAACCACTAGACTGCCAGATGGGCAAAGGTACCTGTGTAGACCTCTCTCCAAATAAACACCTAGCAAGTTTATGAAAAGATGCTCAATAGTATTTTTTTAAAACTTTGTTTATTTACTAACTTTGTACACAGAAGAGCTGTACAAATGAATCTCAATGGAGAATGGGACTGGGAATGGGAGAAGGAGGAGGAGTGTGGGTGGGAGAGCAGGTATGGCGGGAAGAGTCACTGTATGCCTAAAGTTGTACTTAGGAAATTTGTAGTCCTTAAAGAAAAGGTTTCTTGGGGTGGGGGGAGAAAAAAAAAAGAAGGTGGCTGGGGAGAGGGAGAATTGTGACATTTGATCTGAGAAAAGGACAGAGGGAAGAGGAGGTGCACATTGTAAAATATCGTGGCCAGCACTGGCTGCCTGTCCAACCACACTGCTCCTCCTTCTGCAAACCCTCGTTTTCTTCCGAGCACCCATACCTTCTTTGCACCTCGATGCTGAACCAACTACCCTTCAACTTCTGGATACGTGAGCCAGCTATATAAGCTTAGTAAATTAGGTGAAGCTAAGTTGAACTGTTTTTTTTTCCCCTTTCAAACATATAGCTGAATGACTCCTGATATAAATACGCACACCAAAAATACAATATTTTCAACCCGCAATGTAACAATGTATTTCAATAATAATGATCAGTGGATGCTAAAACCCCTGGATGAGAGGTCTTTGAGGGAACCAGACAGTTAATTGTTAGGGAAATATGAATATGGATACAAAGCATATGATTCTCCTTTTCATTTGTTACCTATTTAGTTGAAAGTCAAAGAGAGAAAGACAGAGAGTTCCCATGCCCTGGATCACCCCCCAGATGCTTGCAACGGTTAGCACTGGATCAAGCCAAACCCAGTTCTCCAACATGAGTGGCAAGAACCCAAATACTTAGGCCTTCACTGTTGCCTTCCAGGGTCTGCGTTAGCAGGAAGCTGGATTGGCGTGGAACAGGACTCAAGTCCAGGCACTTAAGTATGGGACATGGGCATCTTAACTGCTGGGCCAAATGCCAGCCCCAATAATACAGGTTTTTTTTTTTTTTTTTTTTTTTTTTGACAGGCAGAGTGGACAGTGAGAGAGAGAGACAGAGAGAAAGGTCTTCTTTTTGCCATTGGTTCACCCTCCAATGGCCACCGTGGCCGGCGCGCTGCAGCCGGCGCACCGCGCTGATCCGATGGCAGGAGCCAGGAGCCAGGTGCTTTTCCTGGTCTCCCATGCGGGTGCAGGGCCCAAGCACCTGGGCCATCCTCCACTGCACTCCCTGGCCACAGCAGAGAGCTGGCCTGGAAGAGGGGCAACCGGGACAGAATCCGGCACCCCGACCGGGACTAGAACCCGGTGTGCCGGCGCCGCTAGGCGGAGGATTAGCCAATAATACAGGTTTTTAAAGATTTATTTATTTATTTGAAAGGCAGAGTTATGGGTGGAGGGGGGTAGGGTGGGGAGAGGGAGAGAGAGAGGTATCTTCCATCTGCTGGTTCACTCCCCAAATGGTTTCAATGGCCACAGCTGAGCCAGGCCAAAGCCAGGAGCCAGGAGCCAGGAGCCAGGAGCCAGGAGCCAGGAGCCAGGAGCTGGTTCTCCCATGTGGGTGCAGGGGCCCAAGCACTTGGGCCGTCTGCTACTGCTTTCCCGTGAACATTAGCAAGGAGTTGGGTCAGAAGTGGAGCAGCTGGGGCACTAACCAGCACCCATGTGGGATGCCAGCATCCCAGGAGGTGGCTTAACCCACAACACAGTTCCCGCCATAATACCTTTAAATATCATATTCAGTAAATTTTTATTTTCTTCAGTACGCTGGTAATATTGTGGCTATTCAGGAGAATGTAGCTGGAGAGATGCATACTGATATAATTACTTGGCGAAGTTTTGTGATGTCAGTACTTAACTAGACAGCAACAAATGGCTGGAATGTTTTCCCCTATTTTCATGTGCTGGAACCAAAAGGTAATGCAAATTTCCCATGAACTTTATTTATTTATTTGAAAGCCAGAGAGACACAGAGGGCCCCTACCTGCTGGTGCACTCCCCAAACGTCTAATATTGTTGGGGCTGGGTTGGGACTGAAGCTTGCAGTCACTCAACCCAAGTCTCCCATGAGAATGACAAGAACCTCACCACCGGAGCCATCTCCGCTGCCTCCCAGGGTCTGCGTTAGCAGCCGAATTGGAGTGGAGCTGGGACTCAAGTCCGGGCACTGATACGGGATACAAAAATCCTAATTGACATCTTAGCTGCTTGGCCAAACACCTGACCCCTCCATGAGCTTTCTGAAGGCCCTTCATATATCAACACACATGAAGACGAAAGGGACAAATATGGCAAAATATTAACAACAGTCGGCACATCTGGATAAATCATATGTGAATGGCCAAACCATTCTTCTCACTTTTTGGTGGGTTGGAACATTTCAAAAATTAAAATTTAAAAAAGTGGTTGGGATTACAAACTATTTAAAAATATTCAAGGGTGGGGCCGGCACCGTGGCTCACTTGGTTAATCCTCCGCCTGCGGCGCTGGCATCCAATATGGGCACCCGGTTCTAGTCCCGGTTGCTCCTCTTCCAGTCCAGCTCTCTGCTGTGGCCCGAGAAGGCAGTGGAGGATGGCCCAAGTGCTTGGGCCCTGCACCCGCATGGGAGACCAGGGGAAACACCTGGCTCCTGGCTTCGGATCGGCATAGCTCCAGTCATGGCGGCCATTTTGGGGGTGAACCAATGGAAGGAAGACCTTTCTCTCTGTCTCTCTCTCTCACTGTCTAACTCTATCTGTCAAATAAATTAAAAAAAAAAAATCAAGGGTAATGCAAAAACACGCAGCTAATGCTTGTTAAGTACACCTTACGTTATCATCCCGGTTCTAACACCACCACATGAGTTCTAACACCATCATGTGGATTAACTCAGTTAATCTTCGCAAGAATTCAACGACGCGGGTCCCACTGTGACTTCTGTTGTCACCACTTTACAGATGAGGCTCAGAAATTGCCCCACTGTGACGAAGTGGTGGCAGCAGCAGTGTGGCCACCTGAGGTCCCCTCCATGCAGACTCCAGGAGAGAACTGTTTGAATCTGGGCAAACTAAACATGCAGACAGATGTTCCTCACCTAGGCACACGTTTGCCAGCTGGGAACAGCCCTCAGTATGCACCTGCAGCAAGCCATGGACCTCCCGGACATACTGGCTACCCTGGCCCTGGGCTGGCTGTCCAGGGCCCCACCTGCAGGCTTTGCAGTTACTGGTCCTGGCAGCTTTCCCATCCCAAATCAGCCAGGTGGGCTTGCAGGGGGCACCGTGCACGCCAGACTGCCACCTCCGTTCAACTGCCCACCTGGATTGGAACATTTAACTCAGATACTCATTCATCAACAAACTGAACTACTCAAAGTCTTCATAGGTTTTGACGCTAGTAGCAAACACAGAGTGAGGCGCAGCGTTGGAGGGAGGGTTTTCTTTGCAGTGGAAGATGACTGATGGCCGTGCCAGAAACGGTTATGGGGCGTCTGGCTTCACGATAATGTGAGCCCAAAAGGGCAACAGCAGTGGTAGGCCCAGCTCCTTCGGGAGACAGAGACGCTAGCTCCCCCTGGTGCACCTACAGGTCATGTCGCTCAGACCTGGCACCCGCGCCTGCCACAGCTGGAACTCACAATGAGAAGAAAGGAGGATGTGCTGGGTCCCTGCGCTTTGTGTGGCTGTCACGGACATGTTGATTTTGAGGTTAAATCTCGCGATGAAAGAGGTGTGGCTGGAGAGGTTTCTAAGCGGTGGACTGGGCCTTGGGGACACTGGTAACTGTGGGGTCCAGTTCCCTTCAAGACTCCCATGCGATGCCCAGGGCTGGCTCCCTCCTTAGCTTCGTGTTTTCTGAAAGATCTACAGGTTGAGACCAAAACGTGGGAGCGGATTGATCAAAACTCCTCGGAAAACGTGAAATCTGCGTATTGACTGGGGATACCTAAAAGGAAAACTTA